ATATTGACAGCAATCTTACTTTCAAACAACACATTAGTAATATTTGTAAGTCTGCTTCCTTTGGTATATATAAGATCAGTAGAATCAGGAGGCTACTTGACCGACCCACAACTTCAAAATTAGTCCATGCTTTTGTCTCGACCCATATCGATTACTGTAATTCTTCTCTTTCTGGCCTCCCTCAGTCACATCTAGTCCCACTTCAAAGGGTACAGAATAGCGCTGCTCGGCTTGTGACTCTCTCGCGTAAATCAGAGCACATAACTCCAATATTGAACTCACTACATTGGCTTAAAATTCACCACCGCATATCCTTCAAAATTCTTCTCCTGTGCTACAAAGCTATCAATGGCTTAGCCCCCTCTTACCTTTCCGATCTCATATCCTTACGTTCCCGTACGTCGTCACGAACACTTCGTTCATCTTCCACATTACTGTTAACACCTGGACCCCGCACTAACACCCGGTATGGTGACCGCGCCTTTTCAGTTATTGCCCCCGCTCTCTGGAACAAACTGCCCGCCTTTATTCACTGCGCCCCCTCTGTATCTCAATTCAAATCTCTACTCAAAACCTATCTTTTCAAATTGTAAATTGCAGTTGTGCGTCGGTCAATGGAGGTGCGCACCATATTTGTCTTTATTTAGTTGATTGCCACTGTTTTTCTTACCTTATCTATGTTACTTTTGTATTTTTGCTTTTTCTTCTAATTTAATTCTACGGGTTATAGTCTTCTCTTAATCAGAACACTGTGCGCTTAGAAACATCAGTATTAAGCGCCTAATAAATGTTATGTATTATTTATTATTATAACTTGGCTATAGACTTTAACTACTTAGGGCTTCTTAGGCCATGACATGGCAAGTACAACTGGGTGGAAGCACATTTATGAGATAGTACTGCAATAATGTGTATGTTTGTTCTTGACTTTAAAAGAGATACCGGTAGTCATTCTGTAAATCAATGATTACTAGTAACTGAGTGGGGAGGGGGTGCCTAGTCACTGCCTACATGAAAGGCGCCTTCATTTTTTTTTTAAGTTAGAATATGATTGACACTATAACTAAGACCAATTAGCAATGGAGTAGATCTTTGATATTTTAATGAGGTCTAAACCTTTTTAATTTTGTTTCAGGATGATGTTCTTCTTCAGTAAAATAAATGAAGGCAAATTCCCTGATAATTGAGACAAATTCAGAGAGAGGAAGGAGAACTACTGAGCTGCTGAATTTCTGACAGGTAGGCTGTACGAATAAGTTGTTGTTTGTATGACCAGGTACTTCAAGGAGGGCATTTGTTCATTCACATTTTTCCATCAATACTTTCAAATAATTGATTATGCACTCCACTTTTACCACAATGTGCATGTAAGTCCACTTTGGTCACAATGTACATGCAAGACCTTGTTAATGTTTAACAGAAATAGGTTACAATGTGCTTCCTTTCATTTTCTTTCTCTTTTTATTCAACAGACATACTTGCAAGGACTATGAAGTTCTACTTAGCCTCCTCAATGAACCAGACTCTATCTGCTGTAACTGTGACTGCATGGGAATCAAAACCTTTGTATTATGATCCTCATAACATGAAGCTAACAAACAAGCAACCATTGATAAAAAGCCTGATATGTCCTTGTTGTGTGTGTGAACCACAAAGCAACCATCGCTCATAAGGATGTTTTTATATACATCAGATGTTCATTGTTTCACTGGAAAAATTGTGATTTTTGAGTTATTTAAGAAATCATGTTTTATAATGTGTTTTATAATATAGTGCAAGTCATGATATAACAGATTCCCTGCAAAAGAAAGACGGCTCAAAGGAAGACTATGCTTTGTTTTTAAAAATGGGAAAAAGTAATGTAACAAATGCATAACTTTGAATTCTAATAATTTCAAATAGCAGATTATGAGGCTATTGGAGCTTAATATTTGACCTTCAATTTTATAATCGTATTCATCGTGAATTACAATCTTTTCTGTTTTAAGAAAAATAAATAAATTGAACGTAATTGTTGATATGTTATATACAATATTCCTTTCATATCTTTTGATTTTAAGTGTGCATACTGTTGGGTTCATTGAATTATACATGGAAAAAGTCTGGAAATAGAACAGTCAGAGAACAGAGAGCCAGCGAGAGAGAAAGATAGAGTAAAAGAGAAAGGGAACCAAATGAGAAAGAACAATTTAATGGTGAGAGATGTCATGAAAATGAGAAATAATCAATGATGTGAGATAGTGTGTGTGTGTGTGTGTGTGAGAGAGAGAGAGAGAGAGAGAGAGATGGAGATAGGGAGAAAGAGTTGGGGGGGGTACAGTGCCCCCTTTTTCAAATGCCCCTTTTAATATAGGTAAGTGCCCTTTTAACTTTGTAAGAAGTGCCCCCTTTTCCATAGGAAAAGTGCCCCTTCCCCTTTTCACGTCTGATAAGTGCCCCTTTAATTTTGAAATACGCCCCTTTTCCTTTGACAAGTTTCCATTTTCCTTGGCAATAAGTGTCAATTTTCCATTGTTATAAGTGCCCTTTTAAATCTCTAGTAAGTGCTCCTTTTCAGGTACGAGAAGTGCCCCTTCACCTCTGATAATTGCCCTATTTAAATCTGAGAGGTGCCCCTATTAACAAAATTATCGGTGCCTCTTTTTCATTCTCATAAGTGCCCCTTTAAAAATATGTTCAATGCCCCTTTTCAGGTGCGATATGTGACCCTTTTCACCTCTGATAATTTTCCTTTTAACAATGGTACAATTCCAGCAAGTGCCCTTTTTGTTGGTGCTGCCCCCCGCTTTGGAAGTCACTCCGCCGCCCCTGGACGTCATATTGCTCAAGTTGTCGAGGTGATGCATCCTCTCCACACTGCGCGCATCCATTGTCTTAGCCCATTGTCTTAGTGCATTGTGACGTCATATTGCTCAAGTTGTCGAGGTGATGCATCCTCTCCACACTGCGCGCATCCATTGTCTTAGCCCATTGTCCTAGTGCATTGTGACGTCGCAGCTTCGGTACTGAGCATGTGCAGAAACCGTAACCATGGTGAATAATCCATGGACTAAGTTAGGCCAGGTTTAAACCATGGATCAGTTAGGCCACCATTCGAGAAATGAAAATGACTTAGGTCAGCGGCCTAAGTTAAGCTTGGCCTAACTAAACCACGGTTTAACTTAGGCCAGGTTTAACTTAGGCCGCTTTCGAGAATACCACCCTTGGGCTTTAGGCTCCGTCCCCTGGACCCAACACCAAATTGTGTCCTGCCAGTATCAAAAATAAGGTATAAAAATATGCTCTTGTTATTTATTGCCCAAAACCCCTGAGCTTCCGGGTGCTCCGCCTACCTGGATACCACATCAATTCGTGACCTGCCAGTGTCACAAATAAGGAATAAAATATGCACATCTGACGATAATTTAATGTATAAAACCCATGAGCTTCTGAGGGCTCCGCCCCATAACCCAACACCAATTCGTGACCTGCCAGTGTCACAATTAAGGTATAAAATGATGCTCATCCGACGATAAATTGATGTATAAAACCCCTGAGCTTCTGAGGGCTCCGCCCTGGGCGAAAAGGTGTAAAATACATTAATTTTACTCTTTTTTTGGAGATAGATTTCCTATATCTGCTGTTCATAAATGTCAAGGCTGAAGTGTATTTTGTAATCGAACTCAATTTGTAAATTGATACATGAATTGGCACTTCAAGTGGGCCCTGCAATCGCTACTACCCATCAATTACCAGGTACTCATTCACATCGTTGTGGAGAGTGGCAATTTAATGTGGATGTATATTTTCATGAATACAATTATTACCGGGCTGGGAATCTTACCCTCAACCCTTGGACTTAGAGTCGATGAATTAATCATGATACGACGACAATATAGCAACATATTCGGATCTCGACTTTGGACTCGACTACTATACTGAACATGATTTTTCAATCCTTTTGACGATTTATATATTTAAAATAAAACAGCCCCAAGAGGTATAATTACGTACATGTATAATAATAATAACTCCGCTTTATATAGTGCTTATTACATCTATGATTTACAGCGCTCTATAGATATTACATATATTATTATCCCGGTCATTGGATTCAATACTTTCCCGCACACAGTGTGTGCACAATCTCCACTTCCTGGGGAGCCAGCCAGGCGTAACGTTACGCTCAAAACTGTTTGACCAACAATGACGGTCGCATCCTACCTGGTACCCATTTAACACCTGGGTAGAGAGTAGCAAGTGCAGGTTAATATCTTGCCAAAGGATATTAGTGCCGTGTCGGGATTCGAACCCTCGACCTTCGCATCTGCAGTCAAGCGCCTTAAACCGCTCGACCACGACACTCTTACGCGTGTAAGCCTATGATTTACAGAAACTACATTATGTGAAGTGGATTAACATCAGCGCTGCGCAATTCACATATTTGCAATAAATGCAGTAAAATCATGTACATTGGTCTAATATAGAAAGTACATGCATTCAGGATATGTATGCGGTTCGCCAAGGCTGCATCGCACCGCAACACCGCATACCAGGGGCGTACGCAGGGGGGGGGGGGGGGGTTAGGGGGTTCAAACCCCCCGCTTTGGTATTTTTATGTGTGTAAACCCCCCTAAAAAAAACTTAAAGTGACCTTACCCCCCCCCCCCCCAACGAAAAAAGATGTCAAATTTTCAAATTTCGAGACCAAAAAAAAAAAAAAAGTGTCCACTTACTCCCCCCCCCCCCCCCCCCCCCCCCCCCCCCCCCACTGAGCGACTTTTCAAATTTTCGGGAGCAAATATTTTGGGCCAGATTTTAAACCCCCCCCCCTTGAAAAAATCCTGCGTACGCCCCTGCCGCATACATTACTATAAAGTTTACACACTGAACTTGAAAGAGAACGTCATGCTGAGTCACACCTACCGTACATTTGTTTAAGCCCCCCCCCCCCCCCCCTGAGAAAAATCAGTTACAGTTGCACGTACTTCCTGGTTATTAAGCGCAGAATAGGATATACATTCGGCGTTCATGCATGATAGCTCGAAATATATCTTGACTATAGGATAGACCTGTATACCAGCTAGACCTATATCATACTGAACTATAGAATATGTCGGACCAGGCAGTGATAGATCGGGAACGGTGGAGTTGGCGATTTGAATCTATTGGGACGAACATCGGCTTCGTAGCCTGTTTTCAGAACTTATGGCGCTTCCCTTACCTCTGCTACGCCAATGGCGGGTGTAAGTAGATGACATTTTATTTAGATTATATTTCCTTGCTGTGTTGAACTAGCACGTACATCAGGATTGTTGCTCTATGTGGGGGTGGGGTCAGTCAGACCTCAGTGGTATGCAACCGCGTAGCTAGGATTTTATTTAAGGGGGCGAAGCACTTACAAAAGCGCGTTCCGAAGGAGGGTGGGTGCGAGGTAGGGGAGTCCCTCCCACCCGCCCCCACACCGCTCTTGCGAAGCGCGGAAGCTTTGACGTTTCATTAAACTATAGAGAAAGAAGGTGATTCGTTCTCGACCTTTATAACCCTTGTCTGAAATTTCAAAAATAATATTTGCTTCATTGTTAGGTCTATACAAGATTTCGATTTGTTTTCTTTTAGAATTGAGCATCATGCATGTGATAAATATATTGACCAATCACCAAGCAATCAGTATTTCATCATAAGATTTCCTTAATTGCTTGCGGGAAATATGTTCGTCATTATTTGCCACATTAGTGTGACTTATTTCTTGTTTATTTCTTGTTTGAGAATATGAGAGCGGGGTTGTATATACATACTGGCTAGCGATTCCTACACTCTCCTCAACGAATATACAATACACACGTAAAGAACCCGGCCCGCTGTACATAAAATATCCGTCGAGCACCGTTGAGTCATTGTGTAGGTACCTTATGTCGAGCAATACGAAAGGCGAACTGCGCTGGACTGGGCTTATGGCTATAGAATTCAAAGCTCATTTCACAATTACATTAAGAAGAATATAATTATGATACATATCTGATGTTTCCTTTGTAATCTTGTTATTTGTTAACGCAGTCTAGTTTGTCACGTTCCTTTGTCTGCTCCTTTTTTTTCCTACGTCCTCTTACTTTTTTCTCATCTCTCTCTCCCCCTTTTTTTTTTGGGGGGGGGGGGAGGGGAAGACCACCTCAACTCTTTTGCTTTCCAGTAATACCTAAAATATATTATTTCAAGAGGTCAACGTTAGTCGTCGCTCGAAAACCGCCAACCTATATTCTTATCCATCCCGCTCGTTTTTGTCAGAGGATTTTGAGATAAACTATTCTTCTATTCAGGAAAAATGTTTCGACAAAAAATAACTTCGTTACCGGTCAGGAGCTAGCAAAAACACAACGCTATGTCAAAATGTGATTGCAAAAAGAACAAAATTAGCCGAATATTTGGGCTCAATTTGCATTAACTTCAAAGTTCGGAAATATTACAAATAATATACCAAAAGAGAGAGCAAGAATCGTAAAATCAGTTACCACATCATTTTTCGATGATATCTGAATAATTTTTTGCAGAGGGAGGGGTTCTGTTGGCTCTTTCCAAATCTCGTGACATCTCGCACAAAATCTCGCGGTTTGGGATCGTACGGCCGTACGCGAATCTACAAAATTTGAAAAAATAGCTCATTAAATAGCGCGGGCGCTGCGGTCTGACTGGAGTGCATCAGTGCCCCTTCAAGAGGGTGGATTGATTTCATTTATTGTTTTCATTACATTTATTTATTTAATCACGGTAAATTCGCTTCAGCCTAAACGATAGTTTTTCAAGGAATTTATCAACTGAATAACGTCTAATAATTATTTGATGATGATTATTAACCTAGTATAATTAAATGATTATTAGACCAAGTGGATAGTAGACAAAATTGGCATTCGACAAACAGTAATAATACTGATTAGGCTTATATGAGTATATGTTATCGTCACTATTGTTATAATTATCATTGTCATCATTATCATTGTATTCACTATTAGTATTGTTAGAAGTAGTATTAATAGTGGAGACCACTGCTCTACCAACAAGTAATAGTAGTAGTAGGACAGCAGTAGTAGTAAAAGCCGTATGCACTGTAAAAAAGAATTTGTTCATTGGTAATTTTTACGTATTTTTTCTATGTAGAATTTACTTGAAAACATTTGTTTTGCCAATTACGCACTAAATTTAAGTCTTGCTAACTCAAACTTTCAATTTAGTAGAACATACGTGGAATATTTAAGTAAAATCAAATACATAAGAACTTTAAGTAATTTCAGCTTGCATTAATTTAGTAATTTTAACTCAAAATCAGAAATTATACGTATTACTCAAACAATTTATGTTGATTATTCTTATTTTTTTAAAGTAAGGACCGATGCAGTGTGTAATAGAAATATTTACATAATTTATGAATATTCATTAAGACCAAATTATACTCTTTTTTAAATAAAACAATTCTTTTTTGTGGTTGAATGAAAATTTAAGGACTTTAGAACATTTACTAATTCATTTAACATGGCTAAGCAAAGACAAGACAATTTTTAATTGTTACCCAGTTCGAAACAAATCAAAACTTGATATTTCAGGAAATTGTCAACCAATTTTCCTTTTAAGATGTTACGATCAAGTATATATAAAATTTGGAGCCTTTCAATATGTGTCCAGTTGAAGCATATGTAATAGTTTGTGATGGTGGTAGATATATATATACGGTTAAATCTTAAATAGAAGTAGTGAATGATTAGTGGATGTTACTTGTTAGATAAGATGGGTACCAAATCGTGCAATATGTAATCCTATCATAGCTTTTTTTAAATTATCTAAAATGATTACATTACTTAAATTATTTACGTTAACGTAACTCGATTAAACTGAGTAAAAATTTATTCAGCAAAATAAGTAAATTCTACTTAAGATGCCGTAGGTAATATTTACTTAATAAAAATAAGGCAATTCTTTTCCTCAATTTTATTGAGTTATTTCGATTATTATTTTTTTACAGTGTGGTTTGGTAACACTTTTGATTATGTTCTCTCTCTCTCCACAGTTCTGTTCCTCATCCCATATTTACTATGTTCCATGTTTCTTGCGATTCCTCTCATGTTCTTGGAGACGGCACTCGGTCAATACACCTCCTCAGGTCCCATCAGAGCATGGAAGATATGCCCACTTTTTCAAGGTAAACATAACTAATTAATTAATATTTCTGAAAAGAAATACAAAACATATATACATTGTATAAAACAAGAATTTAGTAATGGGAGACCACGAAAAGACGAAGACGTTTCTAAAACCAACTTCAAACTCTGAGATCATTGATATTGTGTCATCTTTGAAACCATCTAAATCTAGTGGTTCTGATGATATTTCACCTAGAATTATAAAGGAGTGCATTCACCTTTGTATTGATCCCTTATGTAAAATCTTTAATATGTCTTTATCTCAGGGAGTTGTTCCAGATAAACTCAAGGTAGCTAAAGTGGTACCAGTATATAAAAAATCTGACCGTAAAAATGTCATTAATTATAGGCCAATAGCACTGTTACCAATCTTTTCTAAAATTCTTGAGAAAATAATTTATAAACGCTTAAATGAGTTTCTATCTAAAAAGAATATCTTGATTCCTCAGCAGTGCGGTTTTCGTAAGCACTTCTCCACACAGATGGGTGTGTTTAATTTATTAAGTAATATCATAAAAGCTATTGATGGAGACAAGTATTGTCTGGGGATGTTCTTAGATCTATCTAAGGCGTTTGATACCATTGACCATGGTATCCTCAGGAAACTAGAGCATTATGGAATACGTGGTGCAGCATTGTCTTGGTTCCAAAGCTATTTGTTTGACAGGACTCAATTTGTTGTGGTGAATGGTAGTAGTTCCCAACTTGCTTCTATTAAATATGGTGTACCTCAGGGTTCTGTTCTTGGTCCCCTGTTGTTTTTAATTTATATAAATGATATAATACACTCGTCAACATTATTCTCATACTCCCTGTTTGCTGATGATACCAGCTTGCTGCTGGTTGATAAGAAGGCTGAAGATTTATTACTAATTGCAAATCAAGAGATTCAGAAACTGAATACATGGTATTGTTGTAATAAGTTATTGTTGAATGTTCAAAAGACCAAATGTGTTATTTTTCGCTCAAAGGGTAAAAAGCTTCCAGATGGTATTACTTTTCTTAATGTTGGAGGCCATGATGTTGCGCTTAGTGAAAATGTTCAGTTCTTATGGTTAACTATGGATGAACATTTATCTTGGAAGAATCATTTAGATGTTGTATGCACTAAGTTGTCTCGAAGTGTAGGTGTCATTTTTAGATTGAAATTTATTTTACCTGAAAGAGTGCTGATAACATTATATAATAGTATTATTCTTCCTTATTTGACATATTGTAATGTCGCTTGGGGAAACACTTTTAAGTCATATCTTGATAAGTTAAGAGTATTGCAGAAGAAGGCAATAAGGCTTATTACTAATTCTAATTATAGACATCCAAGTTCTCCATTGTTCCTTCGCTTAAGAATGTTACCACTAAGTGGACTTGTGTCAATCAATTGCGTATTGTTTATGTATAAACTTCAGTTTATGCCTCATGAATGTACGTTAAAAGATTTATTCCGTAAAAACTCACAAATTCATAATTATAATACACGTCAAAGGGGTCTTATTCATCAGCCTTTTGCAAGAACAAATATCACTCTGACATCTTTCCATATCTCTTGCATCAAAGAATGGAACAGTTTGCCTGATGATATAAAATATAGTACAACTCTTTCTAGGTTTAGAAGGTTATCTAAAACGTACCTACTTGGAAGACTGACATAATTTTACTTTGTATCTTAATAATTTCTCATTCTCAAATGCTTATAGACCACTAAGGACTGTGTGTGTGTGTGTGTGTGTGTGTGAGGGTGCGCGCGTGTGTGTGAATATTTTTTTGTGTTCTATATTCTGTAGCTTAGTTTGTTTCCATCCCTTGTATAAACATTAGATTCTTTTTATTCACCTTGCCATATCGTTAATGTATGTATTTTGTTGACTATAGGGCCCCGCTCACAAGCTTAGCTTCTACAGGGGTCCTAAAACCATTCACTTAATGATGTACTATTACCAGTCTCTTTTTCATGTAAAAGATTATATCATGTTTTGTGTGGTTTTGAATAAATGAACTTGAACTTGAACTTGAACTTGAAATGGCTAAAACGTGATTCCCAGATACGTCAAAATACATGCGCTGTACGTACAGTACGTTAGGTTCTCACAAAAGTCCGTAGTTTTAATCTTCAAAGTTATTTTAACCGTTGTTAAGCACCGTGTCGACGCAATTGTGGTTACGAAACTTTAAATGCGTAGACGTGGGCGTAGATGAGAGTTTATATCTTGGGATGCATTTGTACTGACAAGAAAATAAATATATAACAAAATATTTTGGGGTGCCTTCATTTTCGATAACCCTCTAACAGGCAAAAAGACAAAAGAAAACGTAATCACATGTTTGATGGTGAATGTTTGCTCTTAAGTCACGGTTGGTTTAGAGTAGTCTTTCTGTTTGTTAATGGAGGGGTGGGGGTGCGTGAATCAAGAACAAAATCGTGAGGGAATTTTGATAGTAATCTCCCCCTGTCCAAATCGGAGGGAAAGTGTCAACCATCCCCGGTATTTCCGACCATGGAAAGACATAATAAACCAGCATTCACTCAGCTTCGACTCCCATCTTGGGGTTCAAGGGGGTGGGAGGGGCAGGGAGGCGATCGAATTCTTGTCATGTTCGGCAAACGAGGAAAGTTATAGCGACTAAGCATGAAAGGGTGGTAAGGGGCCACCCCTCCATTCATAAGAAAGAATAAAAGCACATGTAAATAATGCTCAATAAGATTTTCCATAATTTAACACCAGATTGTATCCAGACTAATCTCTTTTACGAAGAAACCAATTAGGCCTATCCCCTAAGAAATAGAGTGGTGAAGCGTGACGTCATCAAAAATCTATTTTTAGAATTTCTCAATTTTTTTCTTCATTTTTCGAAAGGTTATCAAAAATAATTTCCAAATGTCGAAAACCAATTGTATATGTTAGGTATTGGCTGAGATATGACCATCTGAATAAATATATTTCCTATAGGAACTCAGTGTTATTTTGCTCTGGCTCCTAACCATTATGAGTTAGTCATTTTAGTAGTTATCAGATTTGTATATTTCTCTTTCTTTATTCCTTTTGAATGATTACATTTCTCGTAATTGATGCTTGTACAGCGCGTAGAGAAACTTTTGTTTTATAATGCGCTTTATAAGTATTAATATTATTATTATTCCTTACCTCGGATTATTCATTATTTTGTATGAACTACAAAATCAACCTTTTGCGTTAGATCAGTTTACCAACATATTCACATTATTGGGATACTCTTTAAACAAAGGTTGTTCTTGAAAACACTAACGTTTGTACGAGGGTTGCTCGACATAGCAACAAATGATGTACGCAGACTGGATTCCGCGTATTGTAGTTCATTCATTGAAAACGGATTGATGAAAACACTCGTCACTAGGTCCCTAGGAAAGAAAACAAAAATCGATTTGAATATGTGAGCAAAGAGCGGTCTAAAGCTTCCAGACATTATTTTTTCAGTGTTTAGCGCATGAGCATTACTTGCCTCTTTCACTCTTTTACACACTTGACTTAACCCTAATAAGGCCGAGCTATTTGAGTTCTTAGTAGGGCCGGGGGGCCATTATGGCCCCTCTCCCCCCCTTAGGATCTCGGCCGCAAAGCGGCCGATCTCCGCGAAAATTTGCACGCATGTCAAGTGAAGTGTATAGAATAATATGATGATTTCAATTTTCAGAAAAATTCGCATATTTGCATATTTATGGTAATTTATGCAAATAAAGTCATAAAATTACATTTTTACCCATAAATCATATATTATTCATATTTAAGCATTTTTTTCACTACATATATTTATCAGACCATTTGAAATAAAAATACGACAAAGAAAGTTGAAAGAGCCAGCTTATTCCTTATGTTATTTCTTGTTTTTACAATTTCTTATGTATTTCATTGTTTTGTTTAACTTATGTATTTTATTGTTTTTGTTGTTTTATTTCCTTTCTTACTATAATTCAACTATTTTGACTCCCAAAACAACCACCTAAACTTTAAACAAGACTCAATAACCAATGTTTAATCTATTTTAGGAAAAATGACATTTCCATATGTTTTGTACACAAATCACAAAAATGAGCGCTTTTCGGGCTGACACGCGAAGACAAAAGGTCACCTGACCTTGTAATTGTAGGTCCGATTTTCATTTTTTTTTTTAAGATGCGCAAGACTCGAAAGAAAAAAGTCAGCGAGCGGCGGGGCACCATCCATATGCGTTCTCGAGCAATCGGAAAAATCGTTGAGGTGGGGGCCATAATGCCCCCCCCCCCCGGCCTTATTAGGGTTAATATGCGAAGGCCGTGGGTTCGAGCCCCGTACCTGTACCACTGTCCTTTGGCAAGTCATCAGTTTGACATTTCCCACATTCGAATCAACCAAGGTATTTTTAAATATATATTTTATTACAGAGCACTTGTAACTTTTTTATTCTCAAGGGGTCTATAAAATACAAGCCATGCTTTTTTAATAGAACCTCCACTATGTTTACACCACCTTCCAAATCTTAAATGATTCATATGAATAATTGTTTAATTATTTGTCGTATCATTTGTTTAATATTGTGTTATTGAACGCTTGTATATATTGCATATTCATTTGATTATATTATGTGGACAAAATATTTAAAAAACTTGAAACCTTGAACCTTGTATTGCTACATGGATACCTGGCTGGTAGGAAGTGTTTCATAAATTCTGTGAGCATACAGCAAAATCGGTAGCCTAGCTGGAGCCGGTAAGTTTTTATAAAATATATGTTGAACGCTTTTTTTTTTTTTTTTTGTAATACTCCAAGGCTCGTACAGAAATGACGCGGCATAATCACGGCTTTATTTTTTTTTTAGTGATGACGTTACGTGTACAATACACGGATCTCAGTGAATACGCAGAAGTCCTTTGTTGCTCATAGTTGCTATTCATTTTACATGTACAAAAACCCGGGTGGCTCTTTTTGTGGCGGTTTACCACGCCCACTCCTGAAAACGCCTTTAATTTGATCATCGTAGGTATTGGTGTCGCCACCACTGTCGTTGCTTGGTGGCGTACCATCTACCATAACGTCATCCTGGCTTGGACTCTATACTACCTCTACAGTTCGTGCCTTGGCGGTGAGCTCCCCTGGACGAGATGCAATAATGTATGGAACACACCTTCATGCCTTGAAAGCTCCGTAAGTCTAGACTCTGTACATCCCTCCCCTCCCCCACTCCATCCCATTATTTAAAGCTTCCTCAGTGTGGATCGGGGGGGGGGGAGTCGGGCACACAAGTCACCCCCCCCCCCCCCTGGTAAACCAAATATGGCAGACTTACACGACAACGACAAGTATCTGGTATATCTGTATCTAGGGAACGAACAAAAATGTAATCAAATTTAATGCAGAAATCTTTCTTAAGAGCCTCCTTACAAATTATTCTTTTCACAGGCTACGAATTGTATTTAAATAGACAGAATGCAACTTGCTAACATAATGGCCCGAATTCACAAAGGAGGTTTGTCGACAAACCGAGGTTTATGTACGTCATAATTATGACGCGTTTTGACGCGTTTTTCACAAACCTGGTTTGTAAAAACGCGTCGAAACGCGTCATATGACGCACGAAAACCAAGGTTTGTCGACAAACCTTTGTGAATTCGGGCCAATGTGTTGTTAGGTAGGACAAGTCATAAGTGTAATTCGCATTTCACTATTGAAATACTATTGAAATACAATTATTCGTAGTTAAGCGGGTGAATGAAACAATGTGTAATATTAATAATAATAGATCACATTTATAACGCGCCTAATACATTGTAACGAGGTACTTAGAAAAGATTTTTGCATTAAATTTGATTCCATAACGAAAATTGTCTATTCCAATACCCTATGGTACATGTATATCACATATAAATTCTATTCAGATTTTCTTATCATACATTTATCGTACATTTCAGTAGGTAATGGACTAGGCTAGTGAGGCCAAGGGCTTCGGTTGGGTTCTCGAAAGTCTTTGTGATCGTGTATAGCTCTAAATGGGAAGGTTGAGTTGAGTTAATGATACAAGTAATGATAAACACGATCGCAACTAATTTCGAAATATCAATTTATTGTATATCCCACAGAAATCCTGTTCAAATTACGTCACACGTCTTTTTAATGTTCGCACATCTCAAAAGGCGATGTACAAATTAAGGCCATTGAAATAAGGCCCTTTTACACTTTCACGGATCATCCCGGATCTTAATCCGGGGTGTTCCGGCGTGCGACACCACGATTTCTTCTCGATGCCGGTGTGGATACGTTCCGAACTGGGTGTATACACGGGCAAGTACGGTGTCTCCACGGACAGACAAGGTCGCAACGCGGACCATGCCGGAAACGCATACGGAGCTAACACGGATTTCAAGGAAGAGCACGGAGGCTACTGGGTACTTTTACGGTCCTTACACGGAGGTGTACGTTGTCTATTGGGATATCTCCGGAATGTTGACGGGTGACTTGAGCTTGTAGGCGCTCATTTGATATACGGAATTCCAAACCCGGATGAAACCGGTGTTAATACGGACCTCCCGGTGTCTACACGGACTGTCCCGGGTGTATTCGGCGGCTACACGGAGGTACACGGTGCCTACAGGGAAGAGGACGGATTGTTTCATCCGTGAACTCCGGGATGAAAAGTTAAGCAAGCTTAATTTCTTCCCCGGATATGCCGGTACGCCAAGGATCACGCCGGATGCCTCCCCGGTGTATACACGGTAATGCCGGAGATAACACGGATGATCCCGGAGCGACGATCCGGGATGATCCGTGATGCGATCCGTGAAAGTGTAAAAGGGCCTTAAGGCTGATTTTCGAAGGTAGTTGCAATCGCGATAATGATGATAATAATGATAATAAAAATAATAATAAATATGGTATTAACAGTTGTTGTTGCTATACTGTATCACGTTGAATTCATTGACTCTAGTCTAAATGGGTGTGCGTTAACGGAACCTATATCATCGGCAACAAGTGGGATACGTATCCAACGGAAGCACCGCGAGCTCCATCGTGGAACAGTTGGGATGTAGCAGGGTCTTCAGATAACCCTGACCGATGTGCTTATAATTCCCCTGCAACCACCAACCCGGCCCAGGAGTTCTGGAAGTAAGTTTCATGATAATGATGATGATGATGATTCTAAAACTCACAGTATCAATACTACTATATCATCAACGTTTCCCACTTAGACCGGTTTACTAACATATTCAAATTGTATACATACTTTTCAGACAAGGTTATTCTTGATAAACCGAACGCTTGTTCGGCGCTTCTCAGACATTTCAACAAGTAATGTATGCATACTGGATTCCAAGTATTGTAGTTCTTTCATTAATAACAGGTGAATGGGATAACTCATGACTAGGTCCCCTGAATAAAAACTTTCTTAACTTTGAATATGTTACTAAACCAGGCTATTCCTTCCAGTAACGTTTTTCATACTCTATTCGTATGACTAAAATTCACCTTTCATTGAATGACTACAGTAATAATAGCGATATCATGATAATATTAATAATAGTAATAATGATAATAATAATAATAATGCACATGTATCATGGCACTTTGATATTTGATTAATACCCCGGTTTATAGAGCCGACCCGTAAAAGTAAATAGCGACCATTTAAAAAAAAAATGTATTTACCTCTCCTGGAGTGGAAGCCCTAACATCGAAATCTGATTTCCATTGGGTACCCATTTACACCTGGGTTGGGAGTGGCAATTGTAGATTAACGGCTTTTGAAAACAACATTAGCGTTGGCCCGGGATTTGAACTCTCTACCTTGTGATCTACAATCCGTTGACTTAAAACGGGGTCAGAACCATTTAACCAAGATGTATGCCAAATTGTAGATATACAGGTATATCATCGCTGAATGTATGTGAATAAAGTCTGGATTATGTGATATCCGATATCAAACTCAAAATATGCCTAGATCGGAACAGACGGTACACGCCACCTACACACCGGATTTCCATTCCGGATACACACAGGGGCGTCGCTAGAACTTTTTCAGTGGGGGTGTAGAGGCTACCAATTACCGACAGGCTACCAATTACCGACAAAAGTAGCCCGACAAATACACTGTTGGTCATAAAGGTGGAATAATTATTTTTAACCCAATAATTTATGGAACGATTTTGACAATGATTTATTCTTAATAGATCTAGATAATAGCATATATTCTCAGATTGTATTGAATAATAATTTGTGAGTGTTTGTTTTGCTTGACTGCTAAAGCATGTGTGTGCTACTATGCTAATCAACTAGGGGACCTACGTCCTTAAGTCATAACTGAAAGTAGCGAGGATTAATGCCTCGCAAAAGGGCACTACAGCACATCGACACGGTTTTGATCATGGGGCCTCACAGTAACAAGGCCAGTGCTTAGCCACTGAATCGTGACTGTACGCAACGGAGGCTAGGTTACAGGGCCGCCCCCACAAATACAAAAAAAACAAAGAAAATGCACTAAATTATCAATAATTCATTGCATTTTGCCCCGATCTCAAACAGAAAAAAAATCCTTTGTGTAGCCATGCCTTAGACCATTAAACTTTAATTGATAACGTACACGAGGATCGAGCATGAATCGAGCCAGAATCGACACAGCTGATCCGACACAGCAACATATATGCGTATCTTTCTTGCTCCCTTGACGAGACGACTCCACCTAACAACTCTCCTCTCTCTCTCTCTTACTCCCACCCCTTCTCTCTCAGGCTCTTCCCCCCCCCCCCTCTCTCTTTCTCTCTCTCTCTCCTCTCTTTCATCCCTCGTTTCTTTTGTTTCCTTTTCTCTTTTTTCTCTATTTTTCTTACTCCTTTTCATTCTTTTCTTTTTTTTTACTTTCTTTCCTCTCTTTCCTCTTTAACTTTTTTCTCTTTCTTTCTTTTCTTTCTTACTTTTCTCTTACTTTCTCTTTCTTTCTTTCCTTTCTTTTCCTTTTCTTTTTTCTTTTCTTTCCCTCCCCATTTTCTCAATTTTCCCGACGTCAGCGCAATTTTACCCACAATTTCCTGACAGTTGGGTGTGTCGCACCCCACAGCCCTCCCCCCCCCCCCTTTAGCGACGCCCATGCATACACCCTCTTGCGAATAGAATATACAAAGGGGCTCCGGTTGAAATTATGTTGTTTTTTAAAGCTATTTGAGGGGCGCAGTCATTCCCCCCCCCCCCCCCTCCCCATCAGGCGAGTTTCTAAAAGAATGACGGGTAGGGAGGAGCCTGGAGCCCTTGCATTCATTTTCTACATGTGCCTCGCTTAAATTCATTTATAATCAATACTTTGAGGGGGCTTGGAGGGAAGAAGGGTCCCCTCCAGCCCCTCTCTAGAACCGCTACTGTCTGAAAATGAGTAAAGTCAACATCTTTGTCTAAAGCCACATCCGGGTGTATTACTGGTTAAGTCTACTGCAGGATATGGCAGAAAAATCTGGGAAAATAGAACATGATGGGGAGGGGGGGGGGCTCCACTTCATCTTTATTTCATCTTGAATATCGAGTGTTCCTAACATTCACAAATTTCTTGACACTCCTTTATCTACTGAGGATTCCATACCTCAAAATTATAATCATTTCTGTTTGTATGCATATTTTATGTAAACATTGCATCATTGGTCCCTGGACTACTGCATTGTACATTGTGTATGTTGATATTAACAAACCGAAATGAACTGAACTGATGTCACCTTGCAGCCTCAGTGATACCACAAACTGATGTTGTAGTTGTTAACGCTTCCGTCAGGATAACTCTGTATTATTTTCTGTATTCTTTGAATTAAAGTGTACTTTGAGAAAAAATTCGTATTTCTTAGTAGAAAAAGGAGTGTCAAGAAATTAGTGAATGTTAGGAAAACTCGATAGTCAAAATGAAATAAAGATGAAGTGAACTGAAAAATGGGCTCTAGTTTTATCAGTTGTCATTTTCCTTTGCTAGATTCAATGTGCTACAACAGACAGACGGAATACATGACGTAGGACGTATTGTTTGGTATCTTGCCCTAAACCTCTTCCTCGCATGGAAGCTCATCTACTTTGGCCTCTGGATGGGAGTCAAATTGAGCGGCAAGGTAATGTTATATTTTTGTTTATTGTTTGTTTATTTGTCTGTAATAATTTTATGACGAAAAAATGACCCCCAAAATACGAAATTGCAATGATTTGTTTACAGTTCATTCCTTGTAATTGTAATGATGATGACGATGATGATGATTGTGCTCGTAATAATTACAATAATAATAATAATGATACTTACAATAATAATGATAATAATAGAAATAGTAATAATAATGATGATAATAATGATGATGATAATAGTGACGATGATAATGATAATAATTTTAATGAAGAAAAGAGGAATAATATAGTGGGTCCTTGTACAACGAATATGTCTGTCACACTATGAGCTAGACACCCTGTTCTACTGCTAAAATAACTCGGCTTTTTAGCTGCATTGGTCACACTACGTACCCATTTGCTTAATTTACTTTTTATTGTTGGCTGTGAGCATAAACATTTAAGCAAGGCTTATTGTAGTTAAACTAGTGTAAATAGCTTGGTTGGATTAAAAACAGTACATTCATTTTAAAAGGTGCACTCAATTCATAATTCGACCAGTAAATCCGAGAAATAATTTGTATATTACTTCTTTTTGTTCTATTTTCTTATTTTTAATACCAATGATCATTCTTTTATCGTGTGATTTCGATCAGAAATTAATCATGTTTTTTTTCCTTCAACTTGCCTTTTTTAAAAGTGAATTGAATTAAATGTATTGTCTTGTGCAACAGACAAATCAATACGACATTACAATACGACAGCGATACGACATTTGTTTGAACGTGTACAAAGTGTAATAATAAAAAAGTTGACATTAAAACAACATGTTACTGATGACACTACCAAGAATTATTCATGAAGAAGCCTGCAAAAGAAGGGTTATCACAGTAAAGCGCTTGCTTGATAACGTGATAGTCCTGGGGATGGGTGTTAAAATATTATTAAAAACGGTGATGGTGATGAGGATGATGATGAAAAATTAAAAATAAAGTTTGTATAGAAATTCCCATTTTATGACCATATTGAGTGTAAAATTGTTGAAACCAAACTAGATGTGGTATAATTATTATTCTTACTTCTCTTAATTTTGCAGATAGCTTATTTCACCGTTCCCTATATACACCTTGTACTAGCCGCATTTTTTATACGTGGGGTCACTTTACCAGGAGCGTATGATGGTTTGCGGTTTTTTCTCTACCCCAACATATATCTACTTGGAAGAACACAGGTAAACGGTCTTCAAAGCTTGTATAATATCTTGCATCTGTTGATTTCGCGAAGGTATTTCCTATCGTGTTTTCTCTCTGATTAGAGGACCTGTATTCCCATGTTATGTAATCATTTGAATTTGACTGATTTATTTGACTTTGAAAATTGTATTGTTATGCATCGATATAAGCGCATCCCATTCTCATAAAATAAAATCATTACTTGACAAAGCCCTAAGGGCGACAATTTATAGAACAATATCTTCGTCTACGGAGCATTATTATTTCTTGTATTTTATATATTATATTACATAATATATATATTCATATATATACACATTAAATATATTCTTTTTTAATCATTTGTTTATTCTGACAAGAACACGTATATATAAGGATAAATGCGAGAGATCATGTACTTGAAACTCCTTGAACATATATAAATACCATTAACTCGTTTATATTTCATTTCATTTATTTCATTTCATTTATTTTCATATTTCTCATAAACATACATATATTTCAAATGAAGTACAAAATTGTTTTATTTGAATGATACATAATAATAACAAAGATAAGTGGTCAATATGAATTAGTGATTTAACTAAGAGAAATATGATAGGAACTACATGGAAGCAAGCTTGTATTAAGGTTGTAGGCCCCAGTAAAAGTATTTGTGTTAATAAATGGAGGACGGATATGCATGTAATAGTGACTAGTCTAAATTAATAAAAAAATAAAAAGGAAATAATAATAAACTTGCGGTAGTGCTGTTTATATTATCCCTTCCTTTATTTAAGTGTAGATAAAAGTACACGTACTTAAATTATCATACAATGGGTGCTCAGCTGATAAACGAACATTACAGATAATAGTAAAATGAATACATTTGGATATTACATACATAAATAGAATAACGAGCAAGCGAGCAAGCACACTGTGTCAGCCGTCGCACTCTCGGATATAGAAGTAACGATGTTTTATTGTTGTTGTTGTTGTTTTTTAAATACGTATTCCCGAAAGCACGACAACCAGACACAACGTGCTTGCACACAAAGGTCATACATACATTGACATCAAGATATGCTTTGAAAAGCAGTTCCTTCAGTTTACGTTTAAAAGTATATAAGGACTGACTTTCAATTAACTCTAACGGGAGGGCATTCCAGTAACTGGGTCCTGTAAACATAATCGTTTTTTGGGCAAAAGCAGTTAGGGTACGTGGAAGGTGGTATGCGTTGCTCTGACATGTGGGATAATCATGTAGGGATCTATTTCTCCGGAACATTTGTACAAATATTTCAGGTCGGTTATTAGTAGATAAATTGTACATGAATATACCAACATTGCAATAGAATAAGTCTGATAATTTTAGGATTCTGTTTTCATGGAACAGGTTGTTGGTGTGAAAAAGGTCTCCTACATGATTAATATTTCTAATAGCGCGTTTTTGAATGCGAAAAAGCATATTTATTAGATTTCCACTAGCGTTACCCCAGGCGAGAATTCCATAGGTGAGGTATGGAGTCATTATAGCAGAATAAACTGATTATAAAATTTTACTGGGAAAAAAGTGTTTAAGTCTATTAAGTATACCAGTATTTCTTGAGAGGACCTTGCTCAAATTAGTAATGTGGGATTTCCAAGATAAATCACTATAAAATATAAAGTCCCAGAAATTTAGTGCAGTCGACTTGTTCTAGTTCTAGGTGGTCTTAAGCATTTATGAATCTACCTCGACAGAAAAGGTTAATGTGTATAAAAGCAACAACATTAACCATTAACTTTGTGGCCCGAATTCACAAAGGAGGTTTGTAGATAAACCTAGGTTTATGTGCGTCACATGACTCGTTCCGACGCGTTTCGGACCAAAGTTTGTCTGAACCTTGGTCTGAAATGCATCGGAACGCGTCATATGACGCACATAAACCTAGGTTTGTCGACAAACCATCTTTGTGAATTCGGGCCTTTAGGATTTGTTTATTTTAATATAATCAATATTTCTCTTTGTCTTCAAACTAGTCATTCCAATATTTGTAAAGCTCAGAACGAGTAAAACTATGCAGCGCTACCTTAACCGTGTCTGAATTTAATAGGCAAAATAATCTCCCTTTTTAAATCATGATTTGAATTGATATCTGCATTTTTTCAAAATACACTGAATAACAAAGAAAATGTAAACGTTAGGTATAATAAAAATACGCTAATAATATAACTTCATTTCGAATTGTGATTAATACAATATATACATATATAAACGAACTTCTTCTATACTATATTATTATGAATTTAAAGTATTATCCTAACTATCTGTGGACAAAAGTCCAGGAGACTGCCATCATAAGCGACGCTTTACTATGATGGCGGTCTACGGTTCATTGTTTTGTTTTGTTTTATTTGTTGTTGTTTTTCTTTCGAGTGTTTGTTTTGGTCTCCATCCACTTCCTTGTTGTTGTTGTTGAATGGTTTAACTGGAAATACCGGCCCAATAGGTGAACTGCATTCAGTTTACAATAAAAGCACATGAAATACATAGCAATCGACAGGCATTTGACTTTATTTTTCTTCATCAAATGGTTTGTAAAGGTGTGGATAGCCGCTGGAACAGAAGTTTTCTATTCCTTCTCGATTGGACTGGGTGCTTTCACAGCCCTTGGCAGCTTCAACAAATTCCACTACAACTTCTATAGGTTGGTACAAAAACACTTGCTTGTAATATTCTCTTCTCGTGGCAAGAAAAGAAAAGCAGCGGGCACTATTGGCAAACTCAGAATCGCTCGATCAGCTATAAGATTTCAAGAGTTTGATTTAATTGCTAGCACCGGAACTCAATACGAAAACCATTAGTTTCGTGGAGCAGTAAGTAGACCAACAAAATGATTAATAAATAAAATAATTACTTCAACCGCATTGGATGAATCATATTCTTCATGAAATTATTGTTTTCAGGGTTTGCAGAACTTCACCGTCTGAAATTTTCAAATATTACCTTTATTTCATATATTCCACTGTTTTCGCACTAGGTATTTGAAAAAGACAGTTAAATTTTGGTTTAAGTTCATGCAAGTGTAAATTCAGGTCAATTAATAGGGATAAAATGATACCCCAACCTCCAAACAAAGTAGCGAACAAACGTCTTTCAACGGTTTCCGGTAGTGGCCTCAGGAACAACATGCTATAAACAATCTAAGAAAATCGGACACCGGAAAAGTGGTTACTTTAAAAATGGCGTCCAAGATGGCCGCCGATGAACAGATCATCAATCACAAATTAGTCGGGTCAATATAATTATGGTTAGACCCCCAACCGTTGCGGCAAGAAAAGGATTTCCAACGGTTTCCGGTGGTGTTTGACATCAGAAACAACATATGAACAATCTAAGAAATTAAACCCCCGGAAAGTGGTGGTTTTCAAAATGGCGTCCAAGACGGCCACCCAAGCCTCAAATAGCTGTAAATCAAGATATAATCATCTTAAAGATTTAATTTTGGTGTCAATACCTAGGTTTAGGGTTCGAAGAATCCATTTATAACACTAACATTACTCATTAGGTTATACCTACCAGAAAATCGGGAGATCCAAAATGGCGTCTAAAATGGCCGACAGTCTCTCAAAATAACCGGAAGTTAGTTATTATTTACAGCTGTAATACATGTAGCAATATTAAAAGTATGACCCGCCGGAACCACCGGCGATCGATGATCTGTTATTTCGGATAATAATAATGATAATTTTCAACTTTTTATATAGCGCTTATTACAATCACTAAGCGCTTCCAAACTTGGAGTTTATTACCCCGGCTTTAGCTGTGCTGCCATTACGGCGCTCAAGCATTTCAAGGAATTAATTCCTGCCAGGTACCCATTTACATCACCTGGGTTGAGTGTGGGAAATGTAGATCAATGCCTTGCCAAAGGACATTGGTGCCGCGGCAGGTCTCGAACCGCGGACCTTGTGCTCATTAAGCCCGATCCATTTTATTGATTCATTCATTTTGTTAAACTTTTTCTACTGATTTCCTTTATCTTTTGTTTTGCTACACGATATAATCTTATAGAGATAGAAAGAGACAGAGAGAGAAGAGGAAATAATGGAAAAGAACACGGATGAATGACCTTTATTATCCGCTCAAGGAAAGTAATATATACTGCAATAAGATCATAGCTGCAGGAAGAAAACATAGTGTATTTTTAATTCAGATATGGTAGACCTACGTTCATTCATTTTGATGATTTTAATTTGTCTCGATTTCTACCCGGTATGTCTTAAAGGTATAGACCAGTTTTGGAAACGCCCCCCTCTCAAAAAAAGAAATGGAAGCTCTGATTACTTATCATCTGAAAGAATATGATTTGACTAATACATGATGATACAAATTTTGCCGGGAAACCGCCTACTAATTGATACATTTGGTAAATTATCATATCGATCCGGCCTAGATAGATATATAGATATATATCCAACATTGAACATATTTTGGGCATATATTTCTGTTTTTGCGAATTTAGTTTGAAGTTCTGCCATCTAGAACCTCTGAAGGCAATATTTAAACAATATTGAATGGTTATTTTGCACCCAAAACACTTGAACCGCAATTTTACCACTAACGGTCTATGTCTTTAAGAAAAATATTTTTTAAATAGAAGGTTGGGTTTTCGGAAAGTTGAACAATATTTATGAGCTTAAAATTCTTTGTATACGGTCAGTTTGAAAGAATATCATAGTGAAAATGTCTCCTGAAAAGGATCGCTATTAAAACGCCGTCTAATATGATGAACACAAGAAAAGGATGAAAAGTGTGGACCAAACATTTATATGCAGTCCCATAACTGATTTCTGTGTGATATTTCGCAAAATGAGTCTTTTTATTAATGTTAGCTGAAGCGGTTGTAGGAAAATAAAAGGGGAGCATTGGGGAGGGGATTTTATGGAACATGAGAGTTCTTGCTTTCATTTCTATACGTGCCTTTCGATTTTTGTTCAGGGGTGAGGGGGCCTTGAAGAAATGGGGAATCACCCATCCCCCCCCCCCCCCTAAGCCTAACCCTAGATCTGCTACTGATGTCATTACAAGCTTTGTTTATTATAAACATCAATTCTCTTGTACTCCATAATCAGCCTTTCTCAGTTGCTTCTAGATTGTTTCTTTCACAATTTACCTGTATGATCATTACTGATTTTTATCTTCAAGGCTATTTTTTTTAATCATTATTGGTTGTCTTTAGGGACAGCATGATCGTAGCCTACTTAAATGTGATTACAAGTATCTACGGTGTTCTCATCGTCTCTTCATTCGTTGGCTTCGTAGCGACCACTGAGGGAATCCCAGTAAATGGAGCCGTTAATGCAGGTAAGAGTAGTGTAAGCATTACTACCCTAATCCTAGCACCGCTGTCCCTAGTGAGGAAGTGGTGTTGAGGGTTATACCCATCCCTCCCTCCAACATTAACCCTAAGACTAGCACCACTGACCTACTGGTGGGTAGAAGGACGAGGGCTTTACCCCTCCCATCCCTAACCTTAACCCTAAGCCTATCACCACTTACCTACTAGTGGGAAAGGGGTTGAGGGCTACACTCCTCCCACCGTCTAACATTAACCCTAACCCTAACATCACTCGCCTACTGGTGGTGGGGAAGGGTGAGGGCTTCACCCCTCCCACCGTCTAACCTTTACCCTAACCCTAACACCACTGACCTACTGGTGGTGAGGAGGGGTGAGGGCTTCACCCCTCCCACCTTCTAACCTTAAACATAGCCCTAGCATCACTCGCCTACTGGTGGTGAGGAGGGGTGAGGGCTTCACTTCCCACCCTCTAACTTTAACTATTACCCTAACACCACCGGCTTACTGGTGGTGAGGAGGGGTGAGGGCTTTACCCCTCCCACCCACTAACCTTAACCCTAAGCCTATCACCACTTACCTACTAGTGGGAAAGGGGTTGAGGGCTACACTCCTCCCACCGTCTAACATTAACCCTAACCCTAACATCACTCGCCTACTGGTGGTGGGGAAGGGTGAGGGCTTCACCCCTCCCACCGTCTAACCTTTACCCTAACCCTAACACCACTGACCTACTGGTGGTGAGGAGGGGTGAGGGCTTCACCCCTCCCACCTTCTAACCTTAAACATAGCCCTAGCATCACTCGCCTACTGGTGGTGAGGAGGGGTGAGGGCTTCACTTCCCACCCTCTAACTTTAACTATTACCCTAACACCACCGGCTTACTGGTGGTGAGGAGGGGTGAGGGCTTTACCCCTCCCACCCACTAACCGTAACCCTAACCCTAACACCACTGGCCTACTGGTGGTGAGGAGGGGTGAGGGCTTCACCCCTCCAACCCTCTAACCCTAACCATAATCCTAGCATCACTCCCCTACTGATGGAAAGAGAGGTTGTATTAATCTGCTACCGGTATATTTTCGTATATTCAGTTAACAACTCAATTATTTATACCCTTATGTTTGCAACTTTTGTAGGTATGTGAAAAGAAAAAAATTCTCTTATCCTCAAGCGAGGTTTTTATTTCCATAATATAATACATTTGTGCATTAATAGCTCAATAATTGAGTGAAACATAACATAGGTTAAAGATTAAAGTACATTCAACAATTCTTCCAGCTTAGTATTATTTTCTTTGCTAACACATTCATATCTTAAAAATAATCTTAGCAACGACTTGAATCCAAAAAACAAAGTATGTGGGTAGTAAACAGAACCATTAACAATCTTCTTGACGTAACATTTATAAATTGCATATTGCGCATAATTTAAAATAATATTCAGAAGTGAATATTTCTTGTTTCCAATATCCTTTCCTACAACTATTATCTTCTGGTCTATTTGTATTTCTATTTGGAATAGATTAAATAACAAATTACATATTATTTTCCAAATCATAGTCACATCCTTGCAATATAACATAAAATGAAAAGTTGAGTCAACTTGTCCACAAGAGTTGCATAAATTATTATTAACAATTTGCCATTTATATAAGTTTTCTTTTGAGGCAATAAACCTATAAATCATCTTGAAATTAAATTGTTTAACTTTATTATTACGAATTTGCTTTAATTTAAATAAAAATACATCCTTCCAAACAAATTCATTATCCAAATCTAAAAAGAAATTCCAAAAGTAAATGATATTTGGTTCTTTTGACTTATTACGTAATAACAAACGATAGTAATCTTTAACTTTCATAACAAAAACATTCACTTTATCCCCTGTTTCTATTTCTATCATATTCGAAATATCACATTCTTGTTCAAATTCATAACTTAATCTATCCAACCAACACTGTGGAAATGCTTTCTTTAATTTTGTATATTTAATCTTGCCATTCTCGATAAAACAGTATTTTGTTCTGAAAGGTAATGTTACTATTTTTCCAAATAATTTCATTTGGAATATTTCTTACTTTAAACATATCAATGAATTTTAGTTCTGACCAAGTACAAAAAAGATCTACATAGAATTCTGGCAAATTATGTTTAGAGCATAGTAAATTCATATCCTTTATGTTACAATTGAAATGTAAACATAGTGGCAAACCCCCTATTTTGTCGGACCAGTATTTAAACATATTTTTCCAATGACAGCCATTATCATTAAAAAAACGAGATATCCATGCCAAACGAAGTGAAAATATTTTACTAGCAATATCAATCATATTCAATCCACCATTTTCAATATCATTTATAATTACATTACGTTTAATTTTATCTTTTTTGGCGTTCCATAAGAAACGAAATAATAGTCTGTTCAATATCTGTGAAACATGTGTTGGTACTGGTACAACAGTTGCGGTATATACAATTTGTGACGCCGCTAACATTTTCAAAACAATTATTCTGCCATAAAAAGTAAGATCTCTCATTTTCCACATATTTAATACATTTCGAATTTTATCTATTTTTACATTCCAGTTTAAATCTTGTAACAATTTTTTATTTTCGCCTACATATACTCCTAGATATTTTACAGGTTGATCAGTATATATAATGGCATTATCATGAACAAAATTATCTACAGTATTCAGTTTCATAACTTCTGTCTTATTCCAGTTTATTTTCGGACCTGCATAGTCTCCAAAGTCGTTGATTTCATTCATAATATATTGTATATCATTAACAGATTCCACAAATAATGTTGTGTCATCTGCATATTGGGAAATTTTTAAACTATCAATACCTAAATCAACACTGAATATATTAATCCCTTTTTATTTTGTCTTATTTTGCATGCTAATATTTCCACTACTATGTTAAAAAGTAATGCCGATAATAGGCAACCCTGGCGAACTCCTCTTCCAATAAGTAACTTTTCTGGTATGTGAAAATGCATTCGTCCCAATCTAAGTTTCTTGAAAATGTGCCATATTAAAGCTTACATCTAATAATATTTAACAAAGGCCCTTTTGCAACTAGTCCACCTTTCCCTCTTAAATTTACAAGTTATTAATTAACAAGGGGTATTACTAACTTCATTTAAAACTGTATATTTTATTCTTGCTTGCGAAAACCGATGATTATGAGGAGCTTGAGGACTTTCCGTCCCCTCCCCCTGTTTCGTATAACGTTTGAAATTAATACGTTGTGGGCTACTGAGTACCACATTAATCTACCAATGATACATCTTGGTGGTAAGGAAAATTGTCAAAATGATTACCCCCTCCTGCTTAAATAATTATCATTCTGTATATTTATATGTACGTCCTTTGATATAAATCAGTTATTTCGTTTTCTTTTTTATCATTAATTTTGATTTTGTTTGATTACTTTAGGTCCTGGTCTTATTTTCGAGGTCTTTCCGCGTGCTTTTGCTGCGATGCCTTCATCAAGGGTCTCGGCAATTTTCTTCTTCCTAGTGGTCCTAACGATTGTGCTAAACTCTCAGGTAATCGGGGAAGGAACAAGGATTGGGGTAGTCCAGTTTCAGTCCGTTCTTTGTTTTGATTCTTCTATCACACGCATCGATCCCACACACAGTGCGGTCCCTCCACTGATCGCGCGATCCCCCAAATTTCCGTCCATTATCGGGGTACATTCACTGACATCTAGAGGTCAGGTGGTACATTATGAGGGGAATGGCTAGGTCTACATTCCACGTTGAGGGTGTGTTATTTGATCAGCTGATTAGGCGCGCGACACGGAAACGGTACACAGGCTGGACTAGGATTTGGCTAAAGTGGGATGGCGGAGGTCAGAATTCTGACAAGAGTTAGGGTACGTTTATGGTCAACTTTTTCTGGCCAGAATGAGGCATTTGTTACGCGTTTAGTTCAAAACACGGTTGCGTCCTTTCTCATTTTGGAGAATCGCAGAAAAACGGCGATCATAATCGCCGATCGTAAACTCACGAAAAGGTGCGTTTTGAATCGGTGATTCTGGGGAAGCATAACCGCACAATCATTTGTAAACGCGTTTAAATGGGGTCAACATAGCATGCGCAGTGCAGACTTTGCACTGCACTTACTCTGGCTCCTCCAGGCATGATCCTGGCTCTCAGCCAGAATCATGCCTGGAGGAGCCAGAGAAAAGAGCATTTACAGTACACCGTGGAACTGCGATTACGATGAGCGTTTACGATGAGCGTTTCAAATCGCTCATTCTGCCTTCAAAATTGAGCATAAACGTACCCTTAGAGGCATCAAAATCATCAGAATGTCTTTACTGCCCTTTTTACTCTTAATACCTATATCTGACAAGCAAAAACAAAAATCATCACATATTTTCTATCATGATGTGTAGCAAAAATTAAGCTTACAAATCTCTGACAAGGAAAACGGAGCGGTCTGGACCGCATTGACCCCCTCTGGATCAGCCTTTGCAAGTTTAATGTCTATCAACGAAATGGCTATAAGAAAGACATTGTGGATCATCATACCAAAATCCTTAAATTTCAATGTTTTTAACTCGACTGTTTTCATTTAACAGTATTTGTACCATAAGCAGGTTTCAGAATGTATTGATTTGAAACAGAATTTAATTTAATCTATGCCTGATATTTTTTTTTTAAAAGACTCGATCGAGAATCTTTATCTATAGATTGCATTTGCTTCACCTATACCTATACTTAATTTCCCAATAGTAAGACCTATAATTTATTTCCCATTCGCCCTTTTAAATATGTTTAACTTTGATAACCTTTTCAACCTCTACAACATTACAACTGTGTAAGGTCTGTAATGGCCGAAAAGGCCAACCCTTCTTCAATTTCTTCAAAATTCTTCAACAATTTCCAACCTTCAATCTTTTTATCTTTTTCTCAACCTTTAAACCGTTTCGACCTTTTTCATCCGCTTAATTTAAGCCTTGTCATTCCTTTCAACATCTTAAATATTTTCAAAAACTTTGAGAAAAAAAATGATTCTTCATTCCTCTCAAATCATGTAATGTTTTGATACTCTGATAATATCGGCAAAAAATTATGTGGATGTGAAAGCATAGTTTATAATTAATTTTCTCCCTTAAAACGCAACCAACACTCCCCATTTCATGAACTAAAAATTTGTTATCATCCTTTTTTCTACGTTAGCTCGTCATGGTAGGGGCGTTCATCACGTCTGTCTTGGATCTTTTCCCTACCTCGCTGCGGATTGGGTATTATAAAGGGCTATTCGTATTGGGAGTCTGCTTTGTAAACTTCCTGATTGGCCTTAGTATGGTAACTCAGGTACGATATCGACACGTAAAGATATTTAGTGGTCAAGAACATTAAATTAATGAAAACATAATACTACCAATGATAAACTTATTGATATTGGATATTTTTATAAGGCACATATTCACCATGCACGGTACGTGCTCATGGTGCCTACCCCGGCTCCGCGAGGCTACCGGTTTCGGTGCTCACATGGCATCCAAGGAACTCGTTCCCACCAGTACCCATTTAACACCTGGATGGAGAGTGGCATATGTAGATTAATGTCTTGCAAAAGGACATTAGTTCCGTTGGAGAACTTGAACTGCGATCCCTTCGATCCACAATCTGAAGACGTTTCCACTTGACCACTACAGCTTTAGACTTCTGAGGGCTGTTGATGAAGAATTCATTTATTAATTCTATTTTATAGAGGAGTATATGATAATATCGGCCTGATAATAAATATTTTATTTTCTTATAAAATGTATAACTTCCTTCTTGGGAATGTCAGATTTTCGTCCAACATTCATTAATCTGTTTATGCCAATTTCCGCCTGCCTCTACTGAGATCGACTTGAAATCAGATTTGACAAAGTTCTCGTTCCTCTGTTGAATCGTTCAAGAAGTATCTTGTAACATATTTACATGTATTTACATTGTAGTTAACTGTGTGATGTTTATATTATATTCTTGTTATTAGTTTTTAGTTTACGATCATCAATTCGATATAGTGCTATGAAAGAAACCAGTACTATATACATTTATTATCAATATAATTATTTTCATTAGCATTATATTTACTGTTATTATTATTATCAATACTGTATTTAATGGGCCTTATTGAAAGAGTCAAAAAGCCAGTGAGGAATATGGACTGTACCTCATTATTAAGAAGACAAAGGTAATGATATGTGGAGGAAAGAAGGGACATCATATTCAAGCTGATGGAGAGGATATCGAAGTAGTCAACCCTGTCTAATTGTGGATGGTGGTGGAAGCTCACCATAAATTAGATGACGTCTCGCCATGGCTAGATCATCTGCCATAAGCCTTACTGACATTTGGAAAGATAGAGAGATCTCAAGGAAAACCAATATTCATATGATGATTGCTCTGGTCTTTTCAATCGCTACATACGGGTCAGAGACGTGGTCGCTTGGAGCAGCAGAAAATCCATGCTTTCGAAATGTAGTGTTGGAGGAGGATGCTGAGGATATCCTGGACGGCTCATAAATCAAATGATTTTGTCAAGATAAAAATTGAAGCGGAAGCCACCCTATGCCAGAAAATAGATAATAACAAGTTGCGGTATTTTGACACATATCAAGGAGAGAAGGTGACAACATGGAGAAGATCATAACCCAAGGTCACGTTGAGGGTCAACGGAAACGTGGTTGGCCAAAGGTTCGATGAGCTGATGGACTAAAAAAAAGATTACTGGCATGAACATCTGCACAGCTAATCGCTATGCCCAGGATAGAATTGGTTGGAACTTCATTATATATAGGGTCACTAAGGGTCAGTCATGACTTGTAGGACGCCGACGACGACGAGGATTATCACTAATGATATTATCATTATTAGTAGTAGTTGTTGTAGTAGTAGTAGTAGTAGCAGTGGCAGTAGTATTGTTATCAATATTATTATTATCATCATCATTATGATTATTATATTTGTTGTTATTATTGATTACATTTTAGGGTGGTCTCTACGTCTTCACGCTCTTCAGTAACTATGGGGATAGTGCCTTCCCTATCGTTTGGATATGTTTCTTCGAGAGCATCGCCATCGGATGGTTTTATGGTAAAAATTTCTCTTTGATTTGATCAGAGATAAGGAAACGAAACAAGCCATTACCCAATTTAAATCATTATTATGTATGACTATTAGTTTAACATCACCAAATTTAACCATGTTTTGTATCCTATTTCTGTGTAAACGGTGGATTAGCCTTAACTCTACATGTGAGCGAAACAACTGCCCATGTTGAAGGTATAGAGTGCGTCCCAGAAAAAACGAAACCGAGAATTATCGATGTTTTATCATAACTTAATCACAATTATAATTGATAAATGACACATATTTGTAAAGCTTAGATCCTCTTCTTTCATTTGACGGAACTCATATAATGCATATTTCACGCATGAGTGATTAAAAGCAATTTGAAGAGAGGAACCAAAAAGTCATTTGGCGGGCGGTATCTGATTTTCAAGGAGAAAATCACTTTTCTAGAAAGTTCAATTTCTGACCTTTCATATGACACCTCAATCAGGAAAAATGAGCCAGGAATAACAAAGTTATGTTTGTTTTAAAAAATGCTTGCATTTCCATAATTTGATCAAACGAGTTCGTTTTCACTGGCTGCTTGCCGTAGCAACACACAGAGTTGACAAAAGTCTTAACTCAGTTTCGTTGAAAATCAGCCATGCATCAGGTCTTTCGTGTTATTTGTGCATGGCTGATCGTCAACGAAACGGAGTCCTTTGTCAACTCTGTTCGTTGCAACGGCAGGCAGCCAGTAAAAACGAACCCATTTGAGCAAATTATGGAAATGCAAGCATTACTTTAAACAAACAGAACTTTGTTATTCCTGGCTCATTTTTCCTGATTGAGGTGTCATATGAAAGAGGAGAAATTGAACTTTCTAGAAAATTAATGTGATTTTCCTATTAAAATTCAGATACCGCCCGCCAAATGACTTTTTGGTTTCCGCTCTATTCAAATTACTTTTAATTACTCATGCGTGAAATATGAGTTGCATCAAATGAAAGATGAGGATCTAAGATTTCCAAATAGGTGTCATTTATTATAATTATAATTGTGATTAAGTTATGATAAAACATCGATAGTTCTCGGTTTCGTTTTTTCTGGGACGCACTGTATATTGGACAAATCAATACATTGAATGGAGGTTAACTGCCCCTGATCCCAAGTGAGGCGAAATTTGTATCTGTTATGTTTTTTTTTTTAATGGAACATGTATGTTCGTTGGGTTTAATTTTACCAAATATTGAGTAAATTGTCATCAATTTTGGTACATGCGTTAAATCGTACCAAATGATTTTCACTTTCCTTGTTTTCCCATCATCAGTAAAGATAAAAGATCGAACATTGTCGAGATTCTAAGATGGAGACACCTTATGGTACATCGTTAAGCTGGTCAGTCACAACGTAGAAAAACTAGATTTATGTGTAATTTTTTGACATCTTAGGGCATCAATAAGATTATCGAAAATTATCAAAGTATTGAAAGGAATGTGTAACTTTTTGATTTTCCATTCTTACCTCTTTTCTTTTAATAAAGGTGTTAGAAGGTTCTCCCGAGACATTGCCGAGATGCTGAAATGGCAACAGATTGAATGGTACATAATCTGCTGGCCAGTCACTGTTCCTATTATTGCTCTGGTAAATATCTCTCCGAATATAGATGGCCCTTATTCTACTGACATTTAAAGTGTAGAAATCAATAGGATATATTTTGCATTGTATGTTAAGGATTTCAAGTTGCTATACTACAATGAATATTTGAGCTTCAAACAATATTATAAAGAGATATTGCGAGTTAAAATACTCTTTCACTAGATACAAAACTAGTAAACTAGTCGACGCATCGTAATTGCATGGAGTAGAATAAGGTGCTCGAGGAACCCAAGTCTGATTTGGGTTCCGTACGCGCCGTTAACTACCCCCTAGGACAACTACCCCCGGACAACTACCCCCGGATAACTACCCCCGAACAACTACCATCCGGAAAAATACCCCTACGGCAACCATCATCTAGGATAACTACCCCTCGGACAACTATCCTAGAGAGTAGTTGTCCGGGAGTAGTTGTCCGGGGGTAGTTGTCTGGGGGTATTTGTCCGGGGAAGTTGTCCTAGGGAGTAGTTTTCCTAGGGGGTAGTTGTCTGGGGGTAGTCATCCTAGGTGGTGGCTGCCCTAGGGTTTGGATGTCCAGGGGGTAGGTGTCCGGATACGCTTCCAAACTGACAAAAAATAAGAAAGCTCACAATGAATATTTAAACCTCGAATTAAGCAGGACTCGACTTTCTCTTTATTCTACTCTACAGTGCGTCCCAGAAAAAACGAAACCGACAATTTTTTTACTATAACTTAATCACAATTATAATTGATAAATGACACATAAATTGGTAAGCTTAGATCCTCCTCTTTCATTTCATGGAACTCATATGATGCATATTTCACACATGAGTGATTAAAACCAATTTGAAGAGAGGGTAACAAAAGATTTGTCAAATAATCGTGTAAAATACATTCTATTCTCAGCTCGTTTGGATCGGCAACATAGTGTACTGGGCCCCGCTGTCCTATTTCCCTGGCTACCCGAGATGGGCCGACGGGCTCGGCTTCTGTATGACCCTCTCGTCGATGGTGTGCATTCCCGCAGGAGCGGTCTACTCCATCTTCTATCACATGATCAAAGGTGAAGGGCCCACTATGACGGTAAGATTATGAACAGGCTTTTAATTGGTGATCGTCAAAGGGAATACGGCTTCCCTTTGAGCAACGGAAATTCACTTTCTTCTCTTTTATTGGGGGGGGGGTATATAAGTGCCAATTCCAAAAGAAGCCTAAGGTAATTGTATGTGAAGATTTTCGGACAATTAGCCTTATGAGCCATGTAACCAAGCAAGTTGCTCTTAAAGATCATTCTCAACAGAATCAAAATTCACATTGGCAATGAAGTAGGAAAGGAACAGTTTGGTTTCAAACCCCCGGCCCCCCCCCCCCCCCCCCCCCACTCAGGGGTCGGAATGACCGCATGCGTGTTGCCAAAATGTCCGGTAAAGGGGTACTTTTCGTGCGACAAAGTCCGGCCCGAGAATTGTAAAAAAAGGGGTGTATTTGACTTTCACCCGGAGATTTCTTCAAAAAAGGGGTGTTTTTTCTTCTTTTTTCTCATCTCTTTGGACTCCTGAGAAATTATTCCGAATTTATGGGGGTACATTGAGCATTTTTCCTGATTTAGGGGGGTCTCCAAAGCAGGAAAAGGCCGCGAAAAGCCCGCGAAAGGGGGGTTCGAAAATGTTGGCAGTCCTCAGATAGGGGGTGCTTTAAAAAATAGGGAACGAGCATATGCGTACCCTAAATAACACTGAGTGGGGGGCCGGGTTCAAACCTCAAAGTGGTACTAGAGAAGCCATATTCGTTTCGTTTGAAGTCCACTCCATGATGTCAGATAAATAGTGAAATTCACTCTCATAAGAATTATTAAACCATTCTTCTTCCAGTGCAATTCTTCATGTTCTCTTCTCTTTTGTTTTTTTTTGGGGGGGGGCTTCACTCCTCACATTGCTGCGTTACAATAAAATCCTTTTTGTGTGTGTGTGTGTGTGTGTGTGTGGACATTAGTGCCTTTCAACATGTTAATAATTCAATAATATTCAACAATAATTCTTCATTTTGTTTTTCTCCATTTCAGAGGCTGAAAAAGGTTATCCAACCCACTATCGTTCCCTTTCGTTACGAACTACATGTAGAACCAGATGGTGTGGAAATGACCTAAGTTCATGAGAGTCAATTAAAAAAAAACTTTATGTAATAGTGGAAAAGATTGAAAAAAATAATCACTTGCAGTTTTGAAGTCGTATGCTATCTCTGAAATGATACGAAATTATATAAATACTTTAAATTGTTTAATTTTCTTCGGTTTCAATTTATATTTGATGATAATTCCAAGTCATTGGATTGCAAACTTATAATAGCCTATTCAATTTTACCTCAATGAAAAATTGTGATTTTGAAATATTGGGCAAAATTCGTAAAAGAACAAAAGCAGTTCAATAATTATGCTTTTTTTTTTCCTCCTCAAAATTATTATGGTAGCTTGGCTTACAGTAAATTTTATTCGTATTTGAAAAGATCGGCGTAGGCGTAGTTATGGGCGCAATTCTTTTTAATGAGCTAACGTTTAATGTTGTCCAAAATTAATACTTCTTTCGACTTTCTATATCTCGCGAACGAGGAGCAATTTTGACACCATCACGATATAGCCAAATGTAGGCCTGTAGCTTGATTATTACCATATCATGTCGAATTTGTAGTATACCTTTTTTTACATTCTCATATACTTGAAATGCCTATATCATGAAAAACATGAATTGGTGCGTGGGTGCGTGGGTGAGTGTGCATGTTGTAAGTATTTCTACAATATTATTACACGAAGGTTTTGATTCATTTTAACAAGTATTTAAAAACAATTAAGGTTATTAATATGTCATATTCTCTTTCTCTCTGATGTCATGTGTTCGTTCTACTCTCACCTTCGATTGTAATGTATGTACAGTACTAGATATAATTTACTCACTTTTAATTATTTTAATCTACTAATTTTAAGTGTACTAAAATTGGGATTAGCCCTGACTCTCCGATTACTTTTGCTAATCCGTCACCTCCACTATAATCAATCCTTTTTGTATTTCTCATGTCAGCTATATATGTATGTGTAGGTGTATTTCTGTGATATGTAATTTTGTATATTTACTTCAAATTGCTTTATTTCGTTGGTATTATATATTTTTAAAGAAATAATCAAATAAACTGAATTGAAAAATGTTGTGGACTGAAATTTATTTGAGATTTAAACTTGATATATATCTAATCATGCTTACGCTTTCCTTGGATGGTGGATTTTCATTTATAACTGGGCCTTTACAAAACCTAACTGAGCTATAATTATAGCTGCAAGGTAAGTGGCATTGGCTATATACATAACTTAAGTAATTCATAGTACTGGCCCTGGTGCATCAGTAGGCATTTGGTGTCTGACATGGAAATTTTTCACGATGTCATCAAATAATTTCCCTTCAAATTAATGGTCGCACATCAAAAGTATGAAATAATTATTCTTGTGTTTAGATATATAAAAATGATAAACTCTGATTTATGGAATAACCTGTAAATCAACCCAAGGCCAATTTCGATACATCCCATTAAAAAAAATCATTTTCGGATTAAGTAATATGCACATTTCAATCATGTCATTATAGGTGACGGACAAAACTACTGTAATTGCCTTTGGTTGATTTTTGGTTTGTATAGTTACTCTCATGTTCCGTTAACCATAAGAATAGGGGAAAATAAGACAATTCAAACGCAGAGTAAACGACTTCGTCTTGAACTAATGAATCACACATATTTTAGTTTAAATTATATATTTCTATCTATCTTTTCTTAAATTATCTGCTGTTATATGTTTAAATTAAGTTTTATATTATATGTTTTTGCATTGTTTTTATATACATATAAGGAGTTATTTGCGCTTGCATGTAGGCCTATGCATAATTCGACCTCTATTAATACATGTACTGAAATGAGTTGTGGAGAAGCAATAATTGTAACTTGTTTTTTTAATGAAAAATAAATGATTTGATTTGATTTAATGCTTTTTGAATGATAGCAGTTATTCCTTTTGTGTAGTTTACAGTGTCTTCGGATGTTTAAGAATTATTGAGATTTCAACTTACTTCAATGCATGGGCGTCAATAATAGGGGGAACAGGGGGACATCCCCCAAAAAAAATCAAGGGAAGGGGACACAATATCAAATCCCCCCCCCCCATATTTTTGACCTCCTTTATCATGAAGCTCAAGTATTGCACTGTGTACGTTCGAACCCTGTGTCCCGTTGCCCGTGGCACACACCTTTGTTATGTTGTGTATATAAATTCGAGGGCAAGTTTTATTACCTGTTGAATTTTAAATAAAGCGTGTAAAAATTTTGAACTTTACCTGCAGGACCAGACGGTCTGAGACGGTCTGTCATAATTGACAGTAATGAGGATTAATACCTCATAAAAGGGCACTAATATATAGCTGATCGACACGATTTTTATCCTGGGGCCTCACAGTAACGAGGCCATTGCTTAGCCCCTGAATAATGACTGTGCGCAGTGTTTGCTAGGGTACGCGGCCCCTTCCACAAATCCCCCAAAACGAAGAAAATGCAATCAATTGTCAAAAATTCATTACAATTTCCCCCGGCCCCCAACAGGAAAAATTCCTCTGTAGGGTCATGCATTATGGTTCAAGGCATGGGCACACAACCATTTTCTTTCCACGGTTCTTTACCTTTTTTACTATAGACGACATTAGACAAGCGACGAATGATGAGCAGAGACCCTTTCCAAAGACGCTGCAATTTCGGAGACAACCCCTTCGACCTATAGCCGAGTTGTATATAGTAGTAGTAGTTCATGACTCCATGTGTCACATGGCTTGGCATTCACACAGATCTATGAGTTTAAAAAAATAAGTTAAATAGATCTGGAGAAATTACAAAAGATTGTATATATTTTTCTTTTAGGAGGAAAGGGAATTAATCTCTAGGTTCTGAAAGGTTAAAGTCACAAAATTTATGAAGAAAATGAAAAAAAACTGAGTCAAAATCCCTTTTTACACCGTAAATTACACACAATAATTATTGTTGACTACACATTGGCACACACACACGAGACACGACCCACCAACCTGTGTACTCCTATTCTTTCTGAGTACCCAAAAATCGTACTAGGACTCTAGGAGAGTTTCTTATATAGTCCTATATCCTTTTCACACCTGGTTCAGATAACCCTGGCTTTTCTTAGTATATAAGTATGCTCTACCGTCTCCACGCTCTTGACATTCTAAAGATCACACGAATGTGTTTTTCTTTTTCAAATAAGCTATTGCAGGTTATTTATTTCCTGCACGATTTATCACAATATTTATTGTATTTTTTATGATCTATTTCGAAGGTATTAATAAAGCTCATGATCAACTTTGTAATTATCTTTGGCCTTGATTAATTAGTTTAAACTATCCTTACTTACGTTCTTTGTTTTGACCATGTTAGCTATCTCTTCATTATGTTATTTACTATGTTAAGTTAGTCATTTTAGTAGTATAAGATTTGTATATTTCTCTGTGTTGATTCCTTTTATGTGATTATATATATGCTTGTACAGCGCAAAGAGAAACTTATGTTTATTTTGCGCAGTATAAATATCGTATTATTATTGTTATCCAATGATTATCATAGACTCTGTCATTCTGAAATCAAGCTAATCAACAGTCTTTTCTAACCAATAAACAACTAACCAATCAACAACTATAATTCGTCCATGGGTTCGGGCATGCAGACTGCAGAGACCCAGTGTGTGTTTCATTTTCTGAATTTAAAGGCAACATAAATTATTGATATTTAATGTACCATATTGTTACTCCCTACGTGATTGGTTCTTGTCAATATGATACATTAAAGGTACTATGTCCCTTTTGCAGCCAACCTCAAATGCTGTAGAACTTTGCAGGAATTATGAATATGTCATGTATGTCCTATCTGTAAAATCTAAACGTTAGCAGTGTCCTCATATTCAAATTATGCAAGGAAACCTGTTTACTTGCTAGACTTCACTGTCAGACACTATTGAGTGACTGACTGGCTTTTCTTCTTCTTTGGTAATAACATACATAAAAAGAGTTGTAAAGGGTACATGAGCATTTGTCTACATCAATAACCCACTTCTTGTGATGGCCAAGATTAAACTGATTGAATCTTTGCGCAGCATAAAACGTATGACCATTCGGTACAATTACTTTTGGGCTCTATAGCCCTAAAGTCGATTCGACAACTAATAGTCGTTATTTTCCCATTTTGAAGACATTTTCAAGCCCCAACTTTTTTAGGGAAGTTCTAAATTAGTATTATCTTTCAAATGCAGTTGGAATTTAACTTTTTCATTTTTTTGGCCTGCAAATGGGACATAGTAGCTTTAAATACCATTATTGTACAAAATATCACCACGTAAGTACCTGCTTAACTTATAGAAATGAAATGTATTACTTTTAATAAATCTCTTTAAAATTGTCTTTCATGAAAATGCGAAACATTCATGTTCATGTTTCTTTCTACATACATTAGTTACACGCTTTAGCCTTACTGTAATACTGTAATACTAAACACATGCTTATTCAAACTTAAGAATTCAAAGCAGGAAGCACATGGAATGGTAAACTGCACTATGACAACGAAACATAATACATTCATCAGTTTTTAGTCAGTGTCCCCAAAACAACTTGAGACGCGGAAAGTATACAGTACATACATTTTACTACACCCTGTTTGCTGTTATGTGAGATTCTTGTCTGGTTGATATTCACCTGAAAATCATAAAAATTAGGGTACAGTACCATATTCTTTCGTTTCCTTTCTTTTCTTTTCATTTTTGTTCTTTTCTTTTCCAATTTTCATCTCCTTCCTCTTTTTTTCTCTTTCTTTCTTCTCTTTTTTTTTTCTTTCCCTTTCCCCTTCATTTTTCCCGACTGCAGCTCAATTTCACCGACAATATCTTGATAGGTGGGGGTGTTACATCCCCCAACCCTCCCACCCCCCCCCCCTCCTTTCTTTAGCGACGCCCCAGGTCATACGATAGTTTTTAAAAACATAACAATCTAATATCTTACTCCTCTTGCCTTTTACCGTCAGCAGCCGAGACGTGCACAATTTTCTTTTTCATTTCCGATCGGACGATTCGGAGACACTACAGCTCACGGTATTGGTGGCTAGCTTCCTTCTTATTAGTCGGAGGCTTATTAGTCGCCAGGTTCAAGGAGCAATTTACTTTGGTAGACGATGAAATTGGACTACTTCTAGCGACCACAACTAAGCGACCACTCGTGTGCATCGAACCGTGACGGCATGATAACAATAGAATTGTCCGCTATGGTGTCTTCAAACCGGTATACAGTAAATGAAGATGGAAAAGGACACTGGTACACGCATAGTCTGTCGACAGTAGGGTGCGGGCGCGCGCGGGGCGTGAAGTTAGCGACCGTAATGATGAATTACTTACTTGTACACGACTGTAATGAGGATCTAGCTGATATTACAGTCGCTAACTTCACACACGTGCACGCCCGCATTACACCGTCGGTATTGTGCAGTGGGTTCTTCCAAGGAGGATATACAAATGGTTCATCTCCTTCTTTGCTATAAGTACAGGTCACAGTCGGGTGTACCGTAGGGTTGTCGTAAAACCTATGAGAAAGTTTTTATTATAATGTCTTCCGTCTTATTAAAGGTAAAGACCAGTTATGGTCATGCGATTGCATTGTGAAAGAAACGTTGTGGAATCGAGAATACAGAGCCGACTCTAGAGTTAACAGTAAGGTCCAGACATCTTCCCCCGGCAGGTGACCTATACCACCAGAAAGCTGGAAATTCCCTCTTTTAGAATATGTAATCAGCTAAGAATAAAAATGTCGGCCAAAGATTCAGGCGTCCTGGCATTTGGGCATCTTATTTTGGAATGCTATTTTAACGGGATATGACGCTATTGTTCGGAAAAACCGAACATTTTCAGAATACAGAGCCAATATTAAAGTTAAACAGTAAGATCCAGACATCTTCCCCCGGCAGGTGACCTATACCACCAGAAAGCTGGAAATTCCCTCTTTTAGAATATGTAATCAGCTAAGAATAAAAAATGTCGGCCAAAGATTCAGGCGTCCTGGCATTTGGGCATCTTATTTTGGAATGCTATTTTAACGGGATATGACGCTATTGTTCGGAAAAACCGAACATTTTCAGAATACAGAGCCAATATTAAAGTTAAACAGTAAGATCCAGACATCTTCCCCCGGCAGGTGACCTATACCACCAGAAAGCTGGAAATTCCCTCTTTTAGAATATGTAATCAGCTAAGAATAAAAAATGTCGGCCAAAGATTCAGGCGTCCTGACATTTGGGCATCTTATTTTGGAATGCTATTTTAACGGGATATGACGCTATTGTTCGGAAAAACCGAACATTTTCAGAATACAGAGCCGACTCTAGAGTTAAACAGTAAGATCCAGACATCTTCCCCCGGCAGGTGACCTATACCACCAGAAAGCTGGAAATTCCCTCTTTCAGAATATGTTATCAGCTAAGATTAAAAAATGTCGGCCAAAATAAAGGCGCCTTGACAGTTAGGCACCTCATTTTGGATTGCGTACTCGGGATTTGAAGCTGTTGGGCGAAATGACCGAACATTTTCAGAATACAGAGCACCACAGAGCCGATATTAAAGTTAAACAATAAGGTTAAGACATGTTCCTCCGACAAGTGAAATGTACCACCAAAAAGCCAGAAGTCATTTTAGATTGCGTACTCGGGATTTGAAGCTGTTGGGCGAAATGACCGAACATTTTCAGAATACAGAGCACCACAGAGCCGATATTAAAGTTAAACAATAAGGTTAAGACATGTTCCTCCGACAAGTGAAATGTACCACCAAAAAGCCAGAAGTTATTACTCATTACTCATTACATTTTCTAACGAGAAGCATCTAAAGAAAATGAGCGGAAAAATTATCTTTTCTTTTTTCTTTTTACCCTTTTGAAGACACCGTAATTGGTCGCTGAACTTGTGGTCGCCAGATTCAAGGAGCGGTTGATGAATATCATGAAACCCGACATTCATCTGGTGGAGAATTCATCATGTATCGACGTCTTATCTTCGTCCCATGATAATAGGATAGCAGTTGCTACGGATAAATATGTCTATGTTTTGGTAAATGTTATTCCTTTATTAATATTATGAACTTTAATCACATAAATAAGCTTATTACTGTCCCACATGTCTGCTTCTGTGTCAGTGTGTGTTCTTATTCATTGCGATTGTATCATTGTTGTCATTGACATTGCATTGTATTTTTAATGTTCATTTCTTTTAGCGTTTCAATGCAATTTGCATGTTTCTTGATGTATAATTAAAAAGGATGACCATTATGAGCCTCATGCATGCACTTTCAGTGAAGGCTTTTACCATTTTCTTTCTTTGTTTTGTTTTGTTTGTTTTTTAATTTTACAAAAAAAGAGACAAAAATAAATGGCTAGACTATTGTATTAATTCATAATACTAGAGTAAAGGAGCCGGTAATCGGACAGCTCCAGTTTTCGGCCGATCCATTGGCTGCATGGTAAAATCCCTTTAAAATCATCGCATAATAGCATATCACATATCCCACACATACCATAGACCTACCATGCCAGAGTCACTGAAGAACCACATTTGCAATGGAAAATATATCCTAAAATATCACATTTTAGCGATGTAATCGGCGGTCCCGCTACCCAAATCTGAAAAATCGAGTTTCTTACGCGTGTATGTAAGAAATATGGGTACCATAAAATGAGCTTTATTTCAAGTATTTTTCAGATTTAGAGCCCGATTTTGTGTTGGTCGCAAGCTCAAAAGTATCTCATCGCATGTATTAAATCAATGCAGCCGGACCCCGCCACGCACACACAATATGTCTGTCTAGACCTAATTCAGATTCCAACTTCCGATCACCGCTGTGCCTGTCTTCGGCCAGGCGAGCACCCGGGAGCTCCGGCGTGGGATACCTGCTCCGCCCGCTTGTGCTATACATCAGCGCGGAAACGCACAGCGCGCGCGAGCGCTTCCTATTGACTTTGTACATGCGTCCGAAAACTAGTTCGCTATGCCGATAATCGGCTCCAAAACAGTGAAAATTGAAACGAATGTTGTCATGGCAATTCGTGATTTTTTTCTGGGATTCTTTTTTTTGTTTAAATAATAATAATATTTACTTCATGATTTGAACAAGAAATGATAATAAATAGGAAGTAAAGAGTCCAAAAAATAGATTTTGTCTTAAATGGCCGAAAACCGGGTCCTTTACTCTAGACCTATATATAATATTTATATATAGGCCTAGTCACAGAGAGAGAGCCAAGCCCCGCATTAGCTCTACCTTTTTGCTTTAAAAAATTCTGGAAGCAACAGAAATATGTATCACAAGATTCTCAATTTATCTCAGATATTTTTTTGTATAGATCCTCTAGATCTAGATCTAGATTAAAGACTAGGGTCTGGATCTAGATCCATTTTCTTAGATTTCAATCCGGTGCCCTTTCTTAGTCTTAATTTCCTTCGAGGAGAAGGGCATATATTTAATAGGAGGCATTATTCCTTTTGTAATTTTATACTTTTTTTAAAACTTTTTTTTTTTTAAATAGTCTAGGGTCTATGTAGACTCTACACATTTTAATTAATATTATTCTTATAATTATTACTATCATTATCATTCTGAGCCCAAGTCTGACATAAATGAAATATTTGTAATCTCTTCTTTCCAGGAGCAAACCTTTAACCCCTCTTTCAGATTTGACTTTCTGAACTTCTCCAAGGAAATAGTGAAGGATACGAAAGAGGATCATCAGTTTTATGATGTTGGAGTCGAGACTGCAGAGATCAAGAAACTTCCTAAAGGATCATGTAAGTAGTTTAGATTATCCCCATTTTGGGACATGTATTTTACTTAAAGTGTACCAATTATGGCGGAAATCATCGAATGATGATGGAAACGCCATTAATCACAACAACAACAACAAAAACGTAGGGGGTTCCATGTGGCTATACAGTATTCAAAATGCGAGCAAAGAGATATATCGCAAAATAAATACATTTGTACATTCTCAGTGATAACTAAAATATCTTGTTGAGTAGACTAGTTAATGTAGGCGTAAACACTAGCATAGAATAGGGTATGCATAGAACCCAAGCTTGACTGTTTACCTATAGAATGCCAGGTACAGTTTTTTAGGTTGATATTATTTTGCTTCGTATTTTTGGGGTTCCATACTGGGGTAGACCTGTTTACTAAATGTATTTTTTGATTTATACATGTTTCTCTCAAGAAACCCAGGTGTTTAACTGACTACCTAATTCACATGCTATGCTCAATCACATCCATATGGATGGAATCCATTTTGTTGCTATGTCGAACAAGCTTCCGGCAAGCTTTTTCAAGAGCTTCTTTCACTCAAGAAGCATGAACAAAAATTTAAACAGGCTTATCTGTATTCAACATATCTCAGCTCCAAATATTGTTTCTCTAAAGAGGGGTTTCAATTTTTTATACAAAATGTTTCACTTTGAATAAAGATAGAAGCTGCTTATGATTAGACTATTGTTTTTAGTCCAAGGCAAATGGGAGGAGAGCTCTCAAGACCGTCACAGAGTTGCCAATTTGTGTTTGATTGATCGCACCTTTAATTATTTATAACTTTCTTGTTTTTTAAGTAGTTTTTGCTCAACTTTAACCGATCAGTCCCTCTCATTGTTTGCTTCTATCAAAACCAACGTAATATCAGGGTGGACTTCCCCTTTAACACATGGCTTTTTTAAAAATCTCTTTGTCCAACAGATATCCAGCAGCGGTTCGCTTTGAATGGATTATTGTTGGAAGGAGATGCAGTATCTCCTTATTCAGAACAATTCAAAACTGTCAAGTTCTCTCCAGTGTCTGATTACCAAGAGAGGTAAATATATTGTAACAAAGATAAATGGGAAAGAGTTTGTGATGGAAACATAAAATTGGGTGTTCCAGCAAGGGAGATAATTCCTGACCTTCAATTCAATTCAATTCAATGTTTTTCTGCCCCATGTCTTTTTTTTTTTGTCATCATTCATGATTTATCTATTATGAATGATTTGTCTATTATGAATGATTTATCTATTATGAATGATTTATTTTTCTTCTATTCAACCCCCCAATACTGAAAACACATTCTTGTTCATTCAAGTGCTTTAAAGCATCTTAAATTTTTATAATTTATATGCTTTGATTTATAGTTATTTGAAGTATGTGTTGTTCGTGATTTATGTTGTTATTCTGTGATTTGGTTGTTATGTTTTGAAGGAGCCTCTTGGCAACATTATCACGTGATAACAGGGTTGTAGTCTACTGCACTGGAAAAGGACAAGGTTTCATTAAGGTAAGTGCTTAGTCATCATTTTGCAATAGGTTTTTACCTGTATATATGATTTTCTCATGAAATATATGGCTTTTATGCATTTTAGGGACACCAATGTTAACTGTCAATATGAAGACTGTGATTTTGTTTTCTCTCAAAAATGAAAAGGTATTTTTAGCATTTTTCTCCCTGGTGCTTCTACTTAAGGCATTCAGAAAAGAAAGAATTAGATACTGAAGAGTAAAACTCTGTGACACACTCTATAATATTTTTTCTGCCTGAGATTTCCTACATATAGTGTATATTGTTACTTTTAAATGCATCAACAATTGGATAATCCCATCTTGGCTCCTAGCAAAGTATATTTGTTATGTAGACTTCTGATTCATGCGGAGGGGTTTGAACCTGTGGCATTAGGCCCTCCCTCACTAGTAATCATAATAAAGGTTTAGCTTTTGATATTCACACTTATTAACAGTAATATTCTGAGTTCATATGGTCTTTCATACATTAACAATGTCACTAAGGGCTTAGTATATAGATATAATATTACTCCAGTCATAGAAATCAGGCTTGCCCATGCAGAATGTATCAACCTTCTCCACTCCCTGGGGAGCATTCCAGCCAGATGCTGACTTGTAAACCTCACATGCAATGCTGAGCAAATTACAACGACTTTCGCATCCTACCAGGTACCCATGGAAAACCTGGATGAAGAGTGGCAAATGTGGGTTATTGCTTTGACAGAGGATGTTAGCGCTTGGCTGGGATACAAACCTTTGACCCCTAAACCCTTAGATCCTACTGGGTAGCTATGGAAAACCCGGGTGGAGAGTGGCAAATGTGGATTAATGCTTATCCAAAGGATGTTAGATCAAGAGACGAGTAAAGGAATCACTGTACCATGACACCTTCACATTTCTCTTTGCTTGAATGTCATCATGCAGGTGGAAAATCTATCAGATAAATTGTATGAGTACGCCAAGAAGACGAACTTCACCCTGAGCTCAGATGGGGAGGAGGAAAAGGAAGTAGCGACAAACAAGGAAACAAGCACTGACTTTGTGGAATGTCAGAGAAGAACAAACTCTGTGAGCGTTACTGGTAAGAATTACAGAGAAACTTGCAACAAGATGACAAAAGAGAGTGGAGGAACGGAAGTGATGGGTTGGGGGAGGGGAGGAATGTTCGTCTTTTCAGTGCCAGGAGGTTAATTCTGTGTTAAAAGTATATGAGTTCACCCCCTTCTAACCCCAAACAGACAGTATGTAAATTAAATGGGGAAATTCTTTTGTTATGTGTTTGGCAGGGGGGGGGGGGAGTTCTATACTCTGTTTGAAAGGTCGTGAGTTTAGACACCAAAGTTGCACTATAAATAAAAGTAAAATTCATTTGTGAGTAGACTGTTTTATATGCACTTTTTTAAAGTTATAAATGGGCATGACAATTGTGTCCTTTGCATATTAATTGCAAAATGGTAGTGAACATCTACATTGTATGTACATTCTTCCAACCTCTACATGTATGTGTGCACTGTCGTACACTTCTAGTATGCAGTGAAACCTGTATATAAAGGCCACTCAAGGGATACATGAAAAGCAGTCTTTAAAGGCAGGTGGTCTTAATGCACAGATTCCTTTTATACAGGTTTCAATGAGAAACATTAATCAAGGGAAACGAGAAAAGAAATGTGATCTTTATAGACAGGTGGTCGCTAAAGCAGGTTTGACTGTATAAGAAACAATCTGAACAGCTTGGTCCCCCCCCCACTCTCTTCCTCTCTCTCTCTCTCTCTCTCTCCCTCCCTCCCTCCCTCCCTCCCTCCCTCCCTCCCTCCCTCCCTCTTTTTCTCCCTCCCTTTCATCCTCCATCTTATCTCTGCTTCTCTTCCTACACATTTCACTTCATTCAAATAGCCATGGCATATGACTCTATCCCGTCAAAGCAATGGCGAAAATCTTCCAACGACAATGGAAAACGCCATAAAAACCAACAAAAAATAAACAATACTGTTCATTTTTTGTGTGCCTATATTTGATGATTATTGAATTAGTTGTATCATTATATATATGCAGATACAAACTGAACTAAATAGTCGGCCATTGCACATTTTTCTTCCCTCTCTTATTTCATGCAGGTATAGCGTGGTCTGGAGTGCTCACTTCATCCGTTAAGAAGCCCCTACCAACAAGAGGCAAGAGCAATGCCAAGAGGAAGCGCCCGGACAACGATGCTGAAACCTCAACCAACGATTTCATTCTCCTGGCAACAGCCCTCAAAAGCAACCATGTTGTCCTGTGGAAGTTCCCCTGCCCTGTCAATGAGAAGTGAGTATGGAGATTGTGCACACAGTGTGTGTGGGCAAGTATTGAATCCAATGACCGGGGTAATAGTATATCTGTAAAGTGCTTAGAGACATCATAGATGTATTAAGCGCTATGTAAAAGCAGAATTATTATTATTATTATTGATTTATGCCACCCTGCGTTGTACGTCTACTTCGACATTTAAACTGTTTGTTATCGGGAAACTTACTGAGGGTTTTTGGTGATGTGCTTTCCATCATTATAAAGAGCATAAGATATGTTAGTTTCCCAAAGGTTCTACTATAAATATAACTGCCATGAATGGATATTGAAAGATAAGCAAGAGCTGTTTCATGACTTTGTGAGCTTTATGGGGAGCCTTCCATACTTACATCACTCTCCATTCTGATTTATTTTTCCTCTTTTATATTTACACCTCTGCCTCTTGCTCTCTCTCTCTCTCTCTCTCTCTCTCTCTGATATTAACAACAGAAGCACTTCTCAGTTAGCTGCAGTCATCCGTCCTGATGATCGTACGTCAGCCATGCATTGGTGTGTTAGGGAGAAAAATGAAAAAGGTGAGTTTTCTATAGAGTTAGGATTTCAACGTCAACTTTAGTTCAACGGTAGTCATAATTAAAATGTATAGAATGAAATGGAACTTACACTAAAACGATCATGACAAAAACTTGGTTTTGTGGTCGAGTGGATAAATCTGTTGCCTGTTAACCACAAGTTACTAGGTTCAAATCCCTGCCACGACACTAACATCCTTTGGTTAGTCGCCATTTGACATACTCGACCCAGGTGTAGTATTAAAGTGGGTATCTGGTAGGACCTTGAATGCACTGAGCGCTACAGTTGCCAGACCTAAAGCCAAGTAAAAAAGTATGTTGGAGTGCACAGAGATGTTACATCACTATGTGATAAACAGTTTAATACAAGAATGGAATATTCATATGGAGGTGCAATGGCTCAGTGGTAGAGCATTAGTCTCGGAAACAAGAGGTCCCAGGTCCCAAACCAAGTCAATGCACTTGTGTCTTTTGGTAAGGCATTAATCCTCATTACCGAGTCCCTCGGAGAGAACTCAAAGCTGTCGGTCCCCTGGTTGCTAATACTTACAAGCATATAACATGCTTTCTTAGCAGTCGGGTAAAACAATCATCAACCATCAATCAATCCATGAAGTATTTTTATATTTTTAATTTGGGCGATTGGCACAAAAAAAGAAGCTTCACATGCATTCCTTTTGTTATTTAAACATATTTGTGGCTTGCACCCATTAAATAAGATCGATTGATCGATCTCTAATTGAAAAACAAGTTAGAAAAAATCTTGGAACCAGCGGGTTTGAACCTGCCATCTACTGCTTGCTGGGTAGCAACTCTACCACCAGGCCATCACTGCATGGTCTATGGCACAGTCACGATGAACTGGAAACAAATACCAAAGCTCTCCTTACTCATTCTGACTTATTGATATTCATTAGTCCGCCATAGGACAATCCTTTTTATAAATGTAATGCTTCTCGATCAATCGATCTTATTTATTTGGTGTAAGACATAATTTTTTTTAAATAATTGAAATTTTTCCAAGGAAGCATTACATTAATAATTCCTTTTGTTTTTCTCTCTGTTGCAGCTTACCTAGCAACTGGTGGATGCGATGGTAGGATATCAGTGTGGAGCGTTTCGCCGGAGGGAGACGTGACTGGACATAGAGAACTTGATGTATGGAAGGAGACGGACGATATACTAGTTCAAGCATTGACTTGGGTTCAGGCACTTTGTGTAAGCTTTAAAAAGAAGTTTTAGGACTGGACCAGATGGAAAAAATATAATTTGTAAAGTTTCTCATTCTTTCTATACATGTCACCTTTGGAAGAACATCGTATTTGAAATGTCCCCTGATGAAAAGGATTGCAACTCAAACGCCCTCATATTTGAAATATAATGAAAAATGGCTGTAAAGTTTGGACCAAACATTCATGCTGCATGTGTGTGTGTTGTATAACCATATTTGTGTGCAGTGTGTATAATTTTCAGGACAAATTTCTTTTCATTTTTAAGATTCCACACCCTTGCGGTACATCAATTTTGCTGTCTTTAGCTATATCAAATAATTTGAGAATCAAACTACTCTTTGACCTATGTGACCTTTTGAACTTTTGAAAATGCTTCTGTTTACCATTTAAGTATAAGAGAAAAGAGATTAAAACTACAGTGATTTTATATCTTGTATCAGCCCAATTCAATTCAATTCAATTCAATCAAGGTTTATTACAAACATGACTGGCAGTCACAAACTGAATCGAACATGTTTTTACAGTGCAAGTGAAATTACAATTGCAACAATAAAAAAAATACATGTAAAACTGAATGTTAAAGCTACAAACATAAGATTACATTGATAACATTTTATTTATAATTCTCCTTTCTATATTCTTGTCCTGCAGACTGGTGACTCATTTGTGCTCCTTGCTGCCAAAGGCCCATGTGTGTTTGTCTTCCAGATACACCTGATGAATGGGAACATGGAAATTGCACACCAGTCTCATACTTTGACAAAGCATTCTGCTCTGGTTTCAGGTACAGTTCTTTGTGTGTTTAGTTTTATTTAGGGGTTGTTGTTTTTTTGGGGGAGGGGTGGTTTGTTCTTATATTTCAGTGTTGCTTTCTTGTTCAAGTATGATATTTATCTTGGTTTATAAAAGAATACATACATATGGAATAGCTTGCAAAAGAAATACAAAGCACTCCATCTCTCAATGTCTTCAAATCCAAATTAAAAACTTATTTGTTCAATTGAGAGATCCTATTTTGTAGAATTTAGTAAAAAGGAGCTCTGAACCAGCGCAGCTGAATATATTTTGTATAAAAGCTGCGCAATATAAATTTATTATTATTATTGTTACAAGAAGGTCATCAATTTGTGAAAATATAGCCATAACCTTAATTTTATTCACATTGTATGACATGATTTTTTAAATCTCTAAGATTAGAAATTTGACAAATATACTCATAAGCATGGAATTGATCAGAATTTGTATTTATTTTGTGATCTCCTTCATATGTGTAAAAGAGTCACATGAATATGAGTGTCATTGTCTTAAGTTAATTTTTATTGTTTTTACTATTTTAAATATTATTTATGTGTGATTTTTTATTTATTGTATTTTGCTGTAAAAATGGTATAAACTTTGATGAGTCCGGAATAGAATATAGTCCCATATATGTATATAGAATAGAATATAGTCCTGTATACATGTAATACAAGTTCTTTTGAAGTATTGATGAAACAAACTTTTTAAGGCACAGGATGTTGTAGGGCCTTTAAAAGCATCGTTTAACAATGTTAAATCTGAGATGCACGGCCCTACGTGTTATCAATGTCTGTGATATGGTGTAATATTGAAAGTAAAAATCTTTGAGTGACCGGTTTTACCATACTCGTTTCCCCCAATGGACTGTAGTGTTATGAAAACCGTTTGGCAAACGCACAATTTGGTTTTGATTTCCAATCATAAATATCTTGATAATGAGACAGGCGATCGGCTTGTAAAAGTCATGGGGTTCCTGACTGACCTAAAGGTTTATAATTATCATTGCAGCATGAGCTAAATCCAGGATTTTGTTTTAGTTCAGAATCTGAGACAAAGTTATTGAATCCCTTTAAAATGTTTTCACAGGTTATCATATTAATTTTCACTATGATATCATAGAGTCATTGAAAGATACTTTCTTGAATCTGTCAATGCAGGTATGTGTAACATCAGAGATAAAGTGTATACTTCTTCGGTTGATGGCAGCATACAGGTCGCTCAGGTCAAGCAAGACAATGGTAAGTTGCATGAAATTTAATTGTTTTCTCAACCACTATTGTGCCATCAAGTTCACAGCCGTGTATTAAAACTAAAGTGTTGTTTTTTTGACAAAATGTTTCAATCATAATGCTTCACATCATTGTTCTTATTGTGTGCCAATCATCTGAAAGAAAAGATTGTGTACCACTAGAGTGTATGACATCAGCCTCATGAAATATTTACCTGGGATTTTGCTGGTTAACGGATAAGGAATATGAAGGACTTGGGTTCTGTGTTAGTAGTTTATGTTATTCCATAATTTCTTCATACCGTACTCCTTATCTGTTAGAATACAGAATTAAGTTTTTTTGAGTTTGATTTTATACATTCTAGCTGTACCCAAATTAAGTTTTAGGTGATTGGTATACAGTGTACTTTAAATCTGCTGCTCTATTTGACCCCACACTGTGAAGTGTAGCCTTCATATGTGACCTTTGAGCTTTGACCTCTGTCCTTTAGGTATCTCGGTAGATCTTCATTTGCTGGAACGCCCTAAATATATGACAACGAGAATAAATGGGATGTCAGCATCAACCAATGGTGTCTACCTCACAACTGTCAATAGGTAATGATATTAATATGTGTTCCTTATATACCGTATATATATATATATATATATATAATAATATGTCTTGTATATTCAGGGTAGCCTCATCAGTATTGATACTGTTCTCCCCGAGGGCCCTGCAATCATACCATTACCCCAGCTTTAGCCTAGCTACCATGAAAAGGCACTCCAAGAAATATCTTACCAGGTACGCATTTACCTAACCTGGGTGGAGTGTGGCATAATAATGTAGATTGCTATCTTGCCAAAAGACTCGAACCAATAAAAAATGTGATCACCTTATAAATCAGCTTACTAGTTGCAACATAACCAGCAAAAGCACTTCCAGTATTATTGCGATTTACAATATTGGTCTTGAGATTACAATTAGAATGCGCTGGGATGGCATACTAGTGTTGATTTGAGAGTTAATTAAAAGATTTTCTTTTTAGGATAAATTTTAGAAGAAATACAATAGCTGAATCAAATGCAAATAAAGACTATTTTTAATGAATATTGGTTATTCTGGTTTAAAGCCCCGTTGCACTAGTTATAGCTACTTGCGCCCTCTATATAGTAAACAATGCCTAAGTGGTGATCGTTGGTCCCCCATGGTCCCCTTGTTCTTATGTTAACTGAGAGCTGATTTGATGAGATAACCACCTGTCAGTGACCATGCAGAGAGGTCTAATCCCTCCTGGCTAAACTAGTGTAGATAGGCTTTAAGACGTTAATGGAAGCTGTTGTATCAAAATTATCATTCACAAAGCTCTTACACGTTCATTGTTTCACACCCATTCAAATGATTATCGTTTCAGCTACTGAGCAGTGCACATTATGAAGAACATTTTTACTCTCTTCTATGGCTGCAAAATTATACCAAATATGGTATCATTTTGAAGAGGAATAAACACAATTTTTAATGATCACAAACAAAGCAATAATTTTGCCATAAAAAGAGAGATATGATCGATCAAACTTCAGTTTCCAAACCTTTCTTGAGGGGTTTGGAATCATTTATGGTAGGCATATGTTTGTGAGTTTAATACTGATAATGATATTCTCCCATTTTTTCCATTTCATTTCAGGCACTCCAGCTATGCGACACATATAGAGAAATCCAATCTGAAATTCCTTCAGATAGCGACGGATCAAGAGGCAGAGCAGATGCTGATGGAACCTCAAGGTAATTGGGTAGTATACAAATAAAGTTAAGGAAACCAAACACTAATATTTATTGAATCATTAAAAACCCTTTTCAAACCCACCATTTTAATCAGTTAGAGTATACTGGAGGTGCACACAAGGAGTTAATTCCATTCAACTGAATTGTATTGTATTAGTAATATTTCATTTTATTTTGTTGCTTTTATTATTGAACATGTTGAACAATTATACTGATTGAGACAGCGCCACCTGTGCGCTTAAAAACGCCTGTATGAAGCGCCCTATAGATGTAATTGTCATTATTACAGGTATTATTAATATGAGGCTCATTTACACAGCCCTAACACCCATTTTGAAGAATCAATTTTGGAGACTGCTATTAGCACTACTGGAAAAACCCATAAACACCGTTGGTGTTTGCTCATTACAATTTTGTTGTGAGTAGTGGGCATGCTTGACATGCTGCTGCTCTGCATGCGATCGCAACAAAGCAAGGAGAGTCACATGATAAAAAGCGGAAGCAATCACCGATATTTCGAGTTTAACAGGCATTTACACTACAAAACTTGGCGAAATTTCTGCAGGTGTTCCGAAAAACCAGACTTCCAGAATAATTCCTTTAGTTGCAACTATACTCACGAAACACTGGAACATGAAGAAAAAGAAGAAAAAAATATGGCTAGTATTTCACGAAATGGTTAAGTTTGCAAAGATCCTAATCTTTTGTTATGGTGAACACACTGTTACTGTAGAGGTTTCGTGGTCGAGGAGATATGTCGCCTGACTGTCGATCACAGAGTCTTCGGTTCGAGTCCCACCGCGGCACTAATGTCCACCCAGGTGTTAAATGTGTACCTATTAGGATGCAAAAGCCAATGTAGTATGCTTAGCAATTCGGGCCTAGTAGCTCTTGCTGGAATGCTCCCCAGGGAGTGGAGAAAGTGCATACATTGTGTGCGGGCAAGCCAGAATGTGATGACCAGGGGTAATAACTGTAAAGCGCTTAGAAACTCAGACTTGCTGATGTATTAAGCGCTATATAAGCAGAAATATTATTATTATCCCATGTACCCACCCAGGCAGGCTATGCTTTAAGTTTGACTGCCTTGACTGGCTCTACCAAAGGTTGACTCCAGAGGGCGCTCTTCAAAATACCACCGTAACCATCCTCTCCGACGATGCGTTGGCCGACAAGTCCCCGAGCGAGATTCTGTACCTGTTGAAGCTGAGACGCCTTGTCGTGATGATGATAGCGCACAGGATATCCTGTGAGATCAACAACTCACGAGGGAGAAAGAGAGATACCCTCGAAGTTATGATTAAGATAAATGTAAGTGTTCACTGTGGATATATTGTTCTGATTTACTCAAAGAAATGGATTGATGATAATGATATTGGATATTTTTATACCACTCATATCCTCCATACAAGGTGCTCAAGGCACTCCAATAGTACCCTAGTCCAGAATCTGCCCTTTTTAATTTTGATCTTCACGTCCACCATACCACCGCTACCGCCCCTACTTACTTGCTACCAGCCGAAGATGCCGTGATCATTAGATTAGGACGCCCGACGAAAAAATGGGTGGTTAGGCTTGGCTGTTGAGCCTATAATGAGTTTGTTGATAAGGCTATTTTTGTCGGCTTGAATCAAATGTAGGGAATATAATATGAAGAACCAGCCAGATTCTGGACTAATAGTACCCCCGCTCTAGCTAGGATACCAATGTTGGTGCTCACAGCATACAAGGAATTCTTCTCTGCTGGTACCCTTAAACACCTGGGTGGAGAGGGGCAAATAAAGATTGATTCCTTGGACACTGGTGCTGCACCGGGGCTCGAACCCACAACCTTAGCATTTCCAGTCAAGTGTTGAAACCAATCGACAACAACACCTCGACATACAAACACATGTAACATTGAACAGATTGAATTTTTGTAAAAAGTGAAAGTACATAGTATTGCATGACTACTGATATTATTGTCTGTACTTGGTATGTTTACTTCATTCATCAACTTCAGATTACTGGCAAAAACTTTCAGATAATCTTGTCACATTTCGGGGGGGGGGGGGGGAAATCTTTGCAGAAGTGTGTCTTAAATGACATCCTTTTTCACATTATGATACAATTTAAGGGAAATTGTGCCATCAAATTGTTGGCGGATTTGCGGCTACCAACACTTGACAGGGGCTTTAAGCAAACATTCATCATAAAATTACTGGGGAAAAATAGAGAGAGTTATGTAATAGCCCCTCGCCTTTTCTAAGTTACATAAAAATACATCAAATTATGTATTCAGCTACATTGAAGCCATGTCACAACTTCAAAAGGCCCTTAATAATAATAGCAAAGTTAGACCCCATCCTAAATCTACGGTAAAGGCAAAGCCACCCCTGACAACTACCTCAATTTTTAGTCTTTCTCTGTACATGCCACAAAAATGTATTGTATACATCTATTGCATCTCTCTCTATCTATCAGTACCATTTTCAAAAAGGAAAATCATATTTTATCGCTCTCCACAGGAAGGTCATGTGAAGGAAATCTCAGATCGTATTTTCCAGCTGCATATAGAGAAAAGCTTGGAAACGCTGGCATCAGGTATTGGTCTAGTTGGCGTTTAAATAAAGCGGCATTAAGGGTGGTGTGTCCTTTTTGCAGGCTGAAAATATAAACTTGTGTGAATCATAATTATGGTAAACAAGAGATAATACCAACTTCATACTCCCCTGAAAAGAATAAAAACTGAATCTTCGCAATACGTCATGAAAATTATGCATAGATAACAGTCTGATTTTCAGACCCTTAATCCGTTTGGTCGTACGTTTTGTGCAGTCCAAAGATTTAATCTGCTTAATTTTGGCCATTACAAGAAGGAAGGTTATTGATGGGTACAAATGCTCATAAGAGAAGAAAAAAAGTCAGTCAGTCAGTCACTCAATAGTGTATGATAGTGAAGTCTAGAAAGACCTTGCATAATTTGAATACTAGGACACTGCAAGCGTTTAAATGTATTCATAATTCCTGCAAAGTTCGACAGAATTTGATGTAGGCTGCAAAAGGGATACACTACCTTTAAAAAGATCTGCACTAACACTTTCATTTGTCTCATGTAACTGTGTGTCTTGCTAGCCAGGCTAGGCATGCACTAGAAGTAGTATTTTGAACACTGGTGGGTACCTGCCCCGGAGAAAGATCTCAGATAAGAAGAAAACGAATGTTGATCGGCCAGATACATTCCCCTTTTATAAATCCTGTGATTTTGCATGCCACTATATTTGGAAAGTAGGTAGTTGTGTGTATGATTTGGCTTAATAGAATGTTAAAGGGGGAACAAAATCTATGAAATTCTGAACCATGGTATTTAATGTAGAAATACAGTACACGCCGAAAATCTCCGCAACACGATTACACGATTTATTTTTAGGATTACACGGTTTACACGATTCACCTGAATCGTGTAACTGTGTAATCGTGTAAATTTACACGATTGAAGAATGTCGCTCTGAATCGTGTAATCGTGTAAATAGTTAAGTGCGTTGGTCGGATGATTCGACCAGATGCAACAATCGTGTAACTGTGTAATCGTGTAAATTTACACGATTGAAGAATGTCGCTTTGAATCGTGTAATCGTGTAAATAGTTATTAGGGTTATAAGGGCATTGGTAGAACGATGCGACAAGCTGCAACAATCGTTAAATCGTATCCTGCTGACACCAATTGCTTTATACACAACTTACCTTCAGTGTACATCAGTTAATTACTGTACTTTATATTCGTGTATATAAACCTCGGCACTTTCCACTAACATGTATCGTATACTAATCCGTGAGACAAGGTAGGAAAACGTCAGAAACAGGAAGACAGATGAAATAGTAAAGGAAAAAAAGATAGCTACGAGGAGAAGGGAACATATAAAAGGAAAATGAGGGTTGGGAGGCACGATAAAGATAAACAGAAAAAATTATGCAAGAGAGAAAAATGGGAAAACTAAAAAGTTGACCGGAAGAAAAGAAAGAGTGAAATAGAGTGATAAAAAAAAAGAAGGGCGAAACATAGTAAAATTAACAGAAATGAGAAGGCTATGAAACGGAGAGGAAAAGAGACAAATTAATAAGGTAAGAGGGGAACATAATGAGGGAAAGAGAGGCGAGAAAGATATGGGGGAACGGAAAGATATTGAAAGAAAGGGAGAGAGTGAGAGAGAGAGAGAAAGAGCGATAAAAAAGCTTTAGTTGAAAGAAAAGGGGCACTGATTAGATTTTAATAGGGGCATTTATCGGAGTTGATGGGGGCATTTATCAAAAGTGAAGAGGGGCACTTCTCGTACTTAAAGGGGATACTTACTAGAGATTAAAAGGACACTAATGAGAATGGAAAATGGACACTTATTGCAAAAGAAAATAGGAACTCGTCGAAGGATAAGGGGCGTGTGTCAAAAGAAAAGGAGCACTTATCAGAGTTGAAAGGGGAAGGGGCACTTTTACAAATTAATAGGGACACTTTTCAAAGTAAAATAGGTACTTTTCCTACACTCAAAGGGGCACTTTGGGGGAACTTGAAAAAGTGGGGGGACACTGTGCCGCTAGCTTAACGTAACTCAAAGACAGTTGGCCATTCACTTATTCTATTCATTCTCGGCTTGCAACTGTTCCCTACACTCTGTAGCCAGTGGTTTACATACTTACGTACATGTAATACCTATTGTTCAGGGGGATCCTATGTTCAAGGGGAACCCCCTGAACAATAGGTATTATGTAAGGATCTCTGCCTGTAGCTAGGGCAACGGCCTTTGTCCCCGGCGAGGGTCAATGGCAGGCCACATTCAGAGTAAGCTTCTTTTGTATGTGACAGGAAGTGTGCCCTTAAGCCTTGACCGTAGCTCTTTATACATATAGCTGAATAATGCAATGTTGTATAAGGTAATTTACGAAAATGAGGAACGCTAATAAAGCAATAAGTGATCAAAGTCTAAGGCCCGAATTCACAAAGGAGGTTTGTCGTCAAACCTTGGTTTTTGTGCGTCATATGACGCGTTTTGACGCGTTTTTACAAACCAGGTTTGTAAAATGGATAATGATTGAATAAAAAAAAAGTATAACGATATTCATAGTAACGAATGAGCTGGTGAACATAATTCTAATTGGTACAGCCTTGTAATGTAAGAGTATCACAACATACTTAATTATGTTAGCCCTCCTTTACATTTTGTAATCATTTTTTACTTATTTACAACTTAGGAATAACAGAATTCCCCCCTTCCTTCGTCGTTCATCGCTTTTTTCTTTTTTTCTCATCGAGGATTAAATCCGAGAGTGCTTTTCGGGAAGTGGACTGATTTTTTTAACTTTCAAACAGTCTATAATAAAACTAGAGACAAGACACTGCAATTAAAAATATATACAAGAGAAAGAAAGCGTAATGTTCGCTATCCCCTCGTATCGTCCACTTGTCCTCGTTCAACCAAGAAGTAACTTGCTTTTACTGAACTAGACATCCTTAACCTGCTCACCATCACCACTGAAAATAAATTGTAACACAATTCCAGCGAGCAATCGAATCGTGTAAATTTTGAATCGTGTAATCGTGTTGCGGAGATTTTCGGCGGGAAGATTACACGATTACACGATTCGACCTGAATTGAGGAATCGTGTAATTTTACACGATTACACGTTTACACGATTCAAATTTCGCTTCATTGGCAAAAAACGAATCGTGTAAAAATAAATGGTTACACGATTCCCGCGAGCAGTCGAATCGTGTAAATTTTGAATCGTGTAAATCGTGTTGCGGAGATTTTCGGCGTGTACTGTATGTATACAGTTAGTGGAAGATCATGGTTTATTTTCAATAAGAATAAATTCTATATGTAGCATGTAAGAAAAAAAGATCTTTGAAATTCTGAAGAATGGCTTTTATTTAAAAAAGATACATGTATGTATACAGAAAGTGGAAGATTATTGTTTATTGTCAATAAGAATAATAAGAATTCTGTTTGTAGCATGGTACAAATGAAATTATTTTCATAATTATAGGACATACAGAAAGCATTTCGAGTAAACTTCATAACATTGTCATCACCAATAGTCAGGGGCGTCGCTAGACCTTTTTCAGTGGGGGGGTGTAGAGGCTTACGATTGCCGACAAAACTAGCCACCAATTACCGACAAAATTAAATGTCCAATATCGAAAAATTCAACCCTATAAACCTGGGGCCGAAGGCTAAATTGTTTTTCCTATGGACTATCTCTTGTACTTGCGTATGCGCAAAATGGTCATTTTCCTCGACGACATAAATATACAAATTATTTCTTTAATTTAGTCAGCATCATAGCTAGACATTTTAATGCAGGCGCGGAGCTGGATCTTATTTTAGGGAGGGGCGGTAGTGAGCAAGAGAATCACTTAAAAGCGCGCTCATTAAGGGGTTGTGGGTGATGGGCCTCCCGCGCGAAGCGCGGAAGCTTAGACGTTTCCTTAAATTATTAGGAAAAGAAGACGATTAATATAATACCGTTTTCGACTGATAATCCTTGGCTCAATGAAGTCCCCCCCCCCCTCCCGCGCGAAAGCTTTGGCGTTTCATTGAATTATTATAAAAAAGAAGACGATTTGCTCTACCGTTCTCGACTGTTTATCCTTTTCTGAATTCAGTCCCCCCCCCCCTCCCGTGCAAAGCGCGGAAGCTTTGACCTTTCATTAAATTATGAGAAAAAGCAGACGATTCGGTGTACTGTTCTCGACTCTTAATCCTTATCTGAATGAAGCTTCCCCCTCCCGCGCGAAGCGCGGAAGTTTAAACGTTTCATTAAATTATTAGAGAAAGAAGACGATTCGTCATACCGTTTTCGACTCTTAATAAGGCCTATTCATCTGAATTCAGTTTCCCCCTCTCGCGCGAAGTGCGGAAGCTTTGACGTTTCCTTAAATTATTAGAGAAAGAACACGATTCGTTGTACCGTTTTCGACTCTGAATAAGCCCTATTAATTTTGTCTGAATTCAGTTTACCCCTCTCGCGCGAAGCGCGGAAGCTTTGATGTTTCCTTAAATTATTAGAGAAAGAAGACGATTCGTTGTACCGTTCTCGACTTGTCTAAATGAAGTTTTCCCCTTCCGCGCTAAGCGCGGAATTTTTTGCGTTTCATCACAATATAGAGAAAGGAAGACGATTCATCGTACTGTTTTCGACTCTTATTAAGCCCTATTCATCTCAATTCAGTTTCCCCCTCTCGCGCAAAGCGCGAAAACTTTGACGTTTCCTCAAATTATTAGAGAAAAAACACGATACGTTGTACCGTTTTCGACTCTAAATAAGCCCTATTAATTTTGTCTGAATTCAGTTTCTCCCTCTCGCTTTGACGTTTCCTTAAATTATTAGAGAAAGAAGGCGATTCGTTGTACCGTTCTCGACTCGTCTAAATGAAGTTTTCCCCTTCCGCGCGAAGCGCGGAATTTTTGGCGTTTCATCACAATATAGAGATAGAAAGACGATTCCTCGTACCGTTTTCTAATATTATTAAGCCCTATTCATCTGAATTCAGTTTCCCCCTTTCGCGCGAAGCGCGAAAGCTTTGACGTTTCCTCAATTTACAAGAGAAAGAACACGATTCGTCGTTCCGTTCTCGAGTCGTCTAAATGAAGTTTTTCCCCTTCCGCGCGAAGCGCGGAATTTTTGGCGTTTCATCACAATATATAGAAAGGAAGACGATTCCTCGTACCGTTTTCGAATCTTATTAAGCCCTTTTCATCTGAATTCAGTTTCCCCCTCTCGCGCGAAGCTCGAAAGCCTTGACGTTTCCTCAAATTATTAGAGAAAGAACACGATTCGTTGTACCGTTTTCGACTTTTAATAAGCCCTATTTGTCTGAATTCAGTTTCCCACTTTCGCGCGAAGCGCGGAAGCTTTGACGTTTCCTTAAATTATTAGAGATAGAAGACGATTTCGTTGTACCGTTCTCGACTCGTCTAAATGAAGTTTCACCTTCCGCGCGAAGCGCGGAATTTTTGGCCTTCCATCACAGTATAAAGAAAGGAAGAGGATTCGTCGTACCGTTTTTGATTCTTAAACCTTGTTTGAATTGAGTTTCCCCGAAAATGTTAAACCTCTGATTTCTTTAGCTGAACTTATAGGAAAGTGAAACTTCGAGAAAATACAAGTATTGTAGTTGTAGTCACTCTCGAAATGGTCACAACGGATAAGAAATCACAGTTCGTAGGGAAAAAAACTTGTCGGCCGACCAACAATATACATCTCACCGACTTTAAACTTCTGCATTGATATAGTACACGAGGATCGAGCAAGAATACCGACACAGCTGACACGACACAGCAACATATTTACCCGTGTCTTGCTTGCTCCCTCGACGAGACGACTCCACCCAACAACCCCTTCTCTCTTTTACTCCCACTCCTCCTCTCTCAGACTCTTATCTCCCCTCTCTCTCCTCTCTTTCATCTCCCGTATTTTTTGTTTCCCTTTCACTCTTTTTTCTTCTTTTTCCTTTTCTTTCTTTTCTTTCTTTTCCTTTCTTTCCTCTCCTCCCTCTTTTTCTTTTTTCTCTTTCTTTCTTCTCTTTTCTTTCCTTTCTTTTCCTTTCTTTCCTTTCTTTTCCTTTCTTTCTTTTCTTTTCCTTTTCTTTTTTTCTTTTCTTTTCCTTTTCTTTTTTCTTTTCTTTCCCTTTCCCTCTCTTTTTTCCCTCTCTTTTTTTTCCCTCTCTTTTTTTCCCTCCCTTTTTTTTCCCTCTCTTTTTTCAATTCAATTCAATTCAAGGTATTTTATTCACTCATTGTAGCCAAAGGCTAAATTACAAATGAATTTACAAAATTCAAAACGTTAAAAACATCATACAAATTAAAAGGAATCATACACAATATTGTAAAAATAAATATTAAAGCAAATGAAAGTAACTATACATGTATAATGCTAACATTATAAAAATATTGCTTACAAACAAAGACAATTTTGGAATTTAAAATTTAAATATAAATATTATTATCCACTTTCCATCAAAATTTAAAGCTTTGTGTAAAGTGACTTGAGTGGTATCTGATGGTAAAAAAGATAAAATGATTATTTTTCATTAAGTTTAATTAAAGGAGTTATGAGTTTTCTATTATACAAGTAAAGGTATAATCAAAAGGAACAAACATGAAAAATCAATACAAATTCACAAGTGATTAAATAGCTATAAGTTCCGAATTATAAGAAGTAGACTGGCAAGTGGTCAATAAAGTATGCATGGGTTGTATCAAATAATTAATTGATTAAAAAGGGCAGTATATTATTAAACTTAAAAAACACTAAATTAAATGAGTGTAAACAAATGTTCGGCGTTTCTATTGAAAATATAATAAATGTTTAATATACAGTCATAGCTAGTGAAATTTAATATGTACGAATGTAAATTATACTATTAATCTAATCTAAGCCAGATTCATAAATAGGTAAAAACAAGTTTGTGATAATCAAGGATCATTTCTGGTTTAAAAGTTTCACAAGAAATGGGAGAGCACTTTTCCGATAGCGCTCTGTTCTACATTTCACAGGCCTGTACTGGTCACTGAAACGTAGTGCACGGAGTTCAGATTGCTTAGGGGGCAACCATTGGGGAAAGTTTTTCTCAAGTGATTTGGCAAACTTGACACACAGTTTGACACGTCTTTCCGACAAAGTGGTAAGTTTTGTAGTTATTAGTGCATTCTCATACGTTTGGTACTCTCTGCCTAGAATGATGCGAAGGGCCCTTTTCTGTATACTTTCTATCTGGTTGGAGTCCGCTAAGGTCAGGGAAGAATGCCAAACTGGGGCGCAATATTCGGTAATGGGTCTGATGTACGACTGGAATACGGTAAGTAAATCTTCTGCGGGAAGTCCAAACTTTTTGAGGGTTCTGAGCATGTACAGTTTTTTACTTGACCTTGAAACAACGTCGCAGACATGCTTGTTCCATTTCAGGTCATTCTGGATGGTAACGCCTAGCAATTTTACATGGACGCACTCTGGGATTGGTTGATTTGAAATGGTGATGGGTTCGGGATTAGGGGGTCGTCTGCTAAATGATATCTGAAAGAACTGACATTTAGCTGGGTTTAGCTTCATGCGCGTGGATTCACACCATATTTCCAACTCCTGGACAGCTTGCGATATGTTACTTCTTGTTGTAGATTTTCGGCTTTCAGCTATCGTCAAGTCATCAACGTATTTCCACCTGGAGGTTGTTGATTCGTCTAATGCATCATTTACTAGGGCAAGGAAAAGTACTGGTCCCAAGCGTGTTCCCTGTGGAACACCTGCATTTGTCACCACTGGTTCCGAAAGTTTGCCACGGTATCTCACTTGCTGCGTCCGCTCCGAGAGGAAGCTGGACAACCATGGTATCAGTTGTGGTCTGGCACCCAGTGTGTAGATCTTCTCAATGGCAATATTGTGGTCAACCAAGTCAAACGCCTTGGAAAAATCTGTCATCACTACTGTTGATGTGTATCCCGTCTTGTCAGCATGTGAATACAGATATTCCAGGAGATCTACTAGGTAATGAGAGGTTGACATGCCCGGCCGATTTCCATACTGATGGGGATCAATGTTCCCACTGATATCAGCGAGCAGCATCTTGCAAACAAAGAGTTCGGCAAGTTTCGCGAAATGACTGGTGAGTGCAATGGGTCTCAGCTTGTCAATTGAAGGCGGTGTTGTTTTAGGTAATGGAACTATGGTGGACATTTTCCATTGATGAGGAACGATTCCTTGGTCAAGAGAAGCATTGATTATATCACAAATTGGAGACGTAAGTTCAAGTGCGAATTCACGAACCAAGCGACTGGAAATGCCATCAGGCCCGCAGCTCTTGCCAACTTTGGTCTTCCGAAGTTCCTGGTAGACCTGCCAAAGATGCACCTTCGGAGCAATGGTTTCTTTTAGTGGTAAGTATGCAGGGAGACTTGACTGGCTCAGAGGTGGTATATCTTCCGCCACCTTCACAAGATGAGTGTTGATCGCATTGGCAACTTCGATGTGGTCATCCTCATCAACCCCTGGGACATCTATGAGCAATTCGTTGGATTTGTTTGAGGTCATTAGTTTGATATACCGGTACCATGAACTTGGATTCTCTTGTTTTAATCGATGGACGCGATTGTGATAAAAGTCAATTTTGGCCTTTTGAATTTCTCTTTGGATCTGATTTCGGATATTTGTCCAATCTGGAGATCTCGAGTTAAACAGTTGTTGGCGTTGGCGAATCAAGCATTTTATTTTGGTGGTCATCCATGGTTTGTCATCTTCGTGGAGTCGAACCGACTTAATCGGGAAATGGCTGTCAATCGCTGGGTTCAACTCGCTATAGAAACGGTCACATTTCTCGTTGACATCCTGCACATTTGATACTGAAGACCAGTCATGGTGCGTGATCCAGTTGCCGAAGCTGCGTATGCTAGATTCTCTCATGGGTCTAGCCTGCTTCATCTTGGTCTTGTTCTGGCTGGGCGGTAGGATCTTTGGTTTCAGGAGGATGCCATTGTGGTCGCTTTGCCCGATCGGAGCTATCATTTCGACCGGATGGTAAAACTGTTTTAAATTGGTAACAATTTTATCCAGAATGATGTTGTGTCGTGTAGGCTTGTCCACCACCTGTTTCAAGCTGTGATAACAAGTTCAAACGGTTCATATCACCACTGATGATGACTCCTGCCCCTGGATGATTTCTGAAGATGTCGTCAGCAGCTTCAGTCAGGTAGGTTACGAGAGTATTGTCATTGTTCATGTTTGGCGGTGAGTATACAGTTGCTACGAATATAGAGGACACTGTTCGTGGCAGTCGCTTTGGTCGAATCTGCACCCAAACAACTTCAAGGTCGCGTGGTACTGGGATCTCAAAAGACTTTGGGTTCATGGCGTATTTTACGTATGTCGCAACTCCTCCCCCACGTCTGCCTTCCCGTCCCTTGGAAAAGACTTGGTACTCTTCCCCCCCCCTTTTCTCTTTTTCCCGACGGCAGCGCAATTTTACCGACAAAATATTGACAGGTGGGGGGGTGTCGCACCCCCCCACACCCCCCCTTTGGCGACGCCCCTGCCAATAGTATCTTGCTTCTCATCAAACTTTGTGCGTTTTTGAAGATTAACTCTCAAAAGCTATATAATGCCACATCACATGTATTTTGTATATTACTCATAGATTATGAAAATATATACATGAAGGATACAGATATCGATGAAAAGAAATAGAAATCAAATCAAATCTTCATGAAAATCAAGCAAATCAAGTAATCCTTGCAAGGAATCAATATTTCATATTAATTATATTTTGTATATCACTATTAAATCGATTATGAAAATATATACATTAAGGATACAGATATTTCTGAAAAGAAATCGAATAAAATATTCATGAAAGTCATGCAAATCAAGTAGTCCTCGCAAGAAATCAGTTCATTAGATTTATTATTACTTCTAAACACATGATCAATCTTCATGGTATCAATATGTCAGATTTAACCCTACTTCTAACACATGTGATCAATCTTCATGATATGTAACCTCTCCTCTTATCATTGCAGCTGACACGAGGAAAAAAGTCACAGGGAGAGCCAAACGTGTTCAGAAGCTAATGTCTGATTGGCTGGTGCTAAATGAATCACGTTCTAAAGCACCAATCACAGAAAGTGGCTCAGTGGATGGGGATGCGTGTGAGAGTTGCAGATTGTGTGGAGAGAATATCCTTTGAAATATGTACTATGACTGTAAAGTGTAAACACAGTGATTGGAATATTTTTTTTCTTCTGCCTATTAAAAATATCACTAATAAATATATTATATAATATGATATTATTTTTGTTACCTGTAATTTATTTTCATTTAATTCGTTGTTAATTACATGTAGATTAGTAATGACATAAAGATTAGTATTACTTGGTTGTTGTTTTTTGGGGGGTGGCAGCCTGCAAGTATGAAAACCAATCCTTTAAAACATTAAAAATAATATTTTTTGAAAATGAAAATAATAATAAATATAGTGATGTGAATCAATTTATTTCAATTCATTTAATTTCATTCACCACTATATACTTTGAAATTTCAACTAGAATGATTTATTATTGAGAATGGCTCACTCTACTTACTTTCTAACAATGTAAACATCATACTGTTCTCAGTTTACCTTTCATTTCATATGGTGGGTGATGTAAGTGTCATATTTTATTTGGTACATTATGTTTTATATATTTCTTTGAGGAAGGTGTGGCGTGTATTATAGGTCTTTTTCATGTTAAAAATGAAATTGAAAAAGGTACATGTATATTTTGTTCACAAATATAGTACCAAAAACATCTGAAAAATTCAAAGTGAGCTTCTTTTCTGTCAATTTTATTTTATTTTCCAACTATACATGTATCGTAATTTCAAAATAATATTTTTTGTACCTTAGTAATAAAAAAAGTTATGCATTCATGATTGCTTGGAAAGAATTCATTTTTTCAAAGCCTGCCTTTTTATTTGTTCTCTTTCAATGATATTCCTTGACTCGCTTCATCAAGTATTCCACTCACATCACGAGAAGATGGCTCCTGTCATAATGGACACAGATGGAGTAAGTCTTAAAGCCCCGCTGCACTACTTATAAGCTACTTGCGCCCTCTATATAGCAAACAATGCCTAATCGGTGCAATTTGATCCCCCATGATCCTCTTTTTCTTATGTTAATTGAGAGCTGATTTGATGAGATAACCACCTGTCAGTGACCATGCAGGGAGGTCTAATCCCCCTGACCAAACTAGTACAGATGGGCTTTAAAGAACCTATCCGATGAAAATAGAACTAGATATCAGTGGAAAGCTAAATGAGCGTAGAATACAATGTAAGAGAATAACAAATGTTTTTCTTTTAAGTATTGCACAAAAGCAAATTAAAATTGCATTTTTGCACGCCCCTCCAAATTCTGGGTCGACACGGGTCAAATTTGGTTGCAGTTACAGTGACGACATAACATGTGGACCCAATTGGCTTGCCTATATAGCTGAGGCAATGAGCCCTGCTCAATTAATGCAAAGTAATTGTGAGTATGCGTACTCTACGTAAGATGATGTCATCAAGTTGATTTCTTTTTTTAGTTTGACAACCTTCGATGTTCAAAGCTTTAGATTTTAAATTTTTGGAGAGCTGTTACTCCTCTGACAGAGACTAAAATGGCATATATCATTATATTCTAGAATATTAGTTTAGTCTGACATGTCTGACATAGCAAGTTGTATGTTGCTTTTGTTTGTGGTATTGTAACAGGTGGTCAACTTTGGCAAAGTTACATGCCACTTTCTCAAGTTAGCTCATTGATGACTGACAAATGATGTCACAAGGGGAATGAGATCTGGAGGTTTTTGGGGTGGAGCTTAGCAAGTTTGAAAAACAAATATTTCAAAAAATATTTAAAAATCTATGAAACAAACTCAGAAGTTTACATATCAAAATATGAGATGTATGCAGGACTGTACACCAACAGGAATACACTTGTATTTCGATGTCATGGGCCCTTTAAATGGGTATCTGGTAGGATTATTCCTTGAAATGCACTGTGCACTGATTACGGCTGCCAGAGCTAAAGCTAGGTTAATAATTTCCAAAGCTCGTTGTATAATTCGATATGCACTATTCAAGAACTGAATATTATTATTATTATTACACCTCCACTACCTCGACTGATAAAACTAAAGAACCAGACTAGGCATAAATAGTCAAATTTGACTGAATGCCAAGAATGCAATCAACATCAACAGTGCATGCCGTTTGATTTATTTCATATTACTTTCAATCAAAAAATTGAAGCATTGTTTTTTTTTAATGTTGAACATATCTGTTGTGACATCTTTTCAGAGCGATGTAGCTTTTCTTTGCTGCTGTGTCAGACATTGAAACCAGGAAGCTGTGCCTACTGCAGAACTTGTTATGCATCCAAGGACGAAACAGGTACAAAAGAGTGATTTTAATTCATTTTCATCATGACTGCTTTTATAGTTTATGGAATTATAGTTAATATTAACACTGATAGGTAAAAGAAGAAGACTATATTTTACTAGAAATCAGTTTCCCAACCTTTTATTTTTATGGATTTTAATTGCTTTTATAAAGTCACCTTACAAAAAATTGACAAAGTGGACCCTCTTTATTAAGGGCCGCGATTAGAACTTGATAATATTTCTTTGAGCTATTAAGGAAAACAAGATCTTATCTACAGGTAACATTGTAATTTTCTTAGTCCAAAAGAGATTGTTATTAGTTCCACTGTTTTAAAAAGTAATTTGTTTTAGCATTATCACCTGGACTGTTACTGCCTTAAGAACATAAGGCAATATTCTAATACATGTAGTTCATAATGCTATTTTTTTTTCGTTCAAGATTTTTGTGTGTAATATGTGCCCCCCCCCCCCCCTCCACCTCCCCGAAAAAAGAAAAAAAAATCACAACAAATTATTTTTTTTTAAATATAGGACAAGAGGCTACCCCACTATCCATGATGCCAGTGGCCCTTCCATTGTAGGATAGATGCTATGATGAAATATAGGGGGAGGGGAGAACATTTCCATACTCCTATATCAAATTATTTTAAACTTGCACTGCATACATTAAGATAGTCTACCTGTAGTTGGATATTCTCTTCTTTATTTTTGTTTTGTTCTTGTTTTTATTTTGAACCTGCCCTACAAACATTATTATTATTATAAACGTTTTTTTTATTGAAAATCATCTCGCAGCCCGAAGGCTGAATTGTGTGACTTTTTACAAATTGATAAAAAAATTACATTACAATAAATACATGTGAAATCAGACATTACAAGATATAAATTCAAAATTCGTTCAAGTTCATAGTAAAAATATAAAATATAAAGTTATATATAAATGTGAACATGCAATAATATTTCCACTCCGATATTCATTGATTTTAAACGGGTCGTGTTTGTTTGTAACAATAGTTGCAATAGATTTTAAAAGTGAATAATTGCGTGATTTTAACAGATTAAAAAGCTCAGTAAAATACAGTGATATATTGGAAATTTACATTTGACAGAAAATAAGTTAAGATTTACAAAGGCAAAAAATAGATATACTTTAATGTTAATAGGTTCAAAGCGTATCCTGTGCTGATCGGTTTGTGAACGGGGCCAGCTATTCCAAATCGTTACAATAGAGAAACATACAGGGTGACGGATACAATAGGAGAGAAGGGGGAATGAAAAGGAGAGAAGAAAGAGAGAGAATAGGAGAGAGACAGAGAGAGGGGAGAGAGAGACAGACAGAGAGAGAGAGAGAGGGGAGAAAGAGTGCTAGAAACGGGGGAGAGAATGGAAGAGGAAAATAAGTTTAGCAGTTACGATTGATACAGCAATGATTTGTCAATTAACTGGATATAATTCATTAAAGTTAATATCATGTAACAAACTGGAATAAATTCCAATATAATAAGGGGTGAAAAGCGAAAAGTGTAGATATGTCTGATGATTATAGTTACATATCATTCAATAGGTCGACCAAGAATGGAATTGGGCTTCTTTTGTATCTATCAGTTCTGCATCTGATTGCAGGATAAGGAGCAACCCTCCTCAGAGATTGAGAATATCTATTCTGGCGTGGGCGTGGCAACCAGTCCCTGAACTGAGGTGAATTTATTAGTGATTTAGCAAATCTTTTGCAAAGTTCTCGCCTTCTATTGTCTAGGGTTTGGAGATTGGTCATTTGTAGTGCATTTTCGTAGGTCACGTACAATGATCCCAGTACAATTTTGAGTGCACGTTTCTGGATCCTTTCAATCTGGGCATTTTGTTGGTTTGTTAAGCCAGGATGCCACACAGGAGCAGCATATTCAACAAGGGGCCTGACATAGCCTGTGTATACACATAGTACGTCTTTCCATGGTAATTGGAATGGTTTCAGGGTTCTTAGCATATACATGCGCCTATTTGCGTTACGCACCATGTTATCGACATGGCTGTTCCATTTCAGATCTGTTTGTAGTAGTACCCCCAGGGCTTTGATTGTTTGCACCTCATCAAGGGTCTGGTCCCCAAGACTAACATTAATTGGAGGGAGTTGGGTTTTTCCGAAGTTTACTCTCATTACATGACATTTACTGGCATTAAGCTGCATGGCGTTGTTATTGCACCATGTGTTGAGTTCAGATAGGGTATTGTGGATTTCTGCAGCCGCACCCCGTGGTCTCGCTTCCGCTATTGTCATGTCATCAACGTATTTCCAATGCTCCAAATTTGAGGATGCCAATGCGTCGTTGATTAGGACTAGGAACAAGATCGGGCCTAAGCGTGTCCCCTGTGGGACGCCCGCGTTCACTGGAGCCCAGGTAGACATGACACCTTGGTAGCGAACACACTGGGTGCGACCAGTCAGAAAGTTAGAAATCCAAGGTACAAGTGAGGGACAAGACACAAGATGGATAAGCTTAGAGATAACTACTGTATGATCAACTTTATCAAAAGCCTTAGAAAAGTCAGTTGTGACTAGAGTGGATGTGGTACCTAATTTGTCGACCTGCTTCGTTAGAAAATTTACAATATCTACAAGACAGTGAGTTGTTGATCTACCTGGTCTACTTCCAAACTGTTTGGCATCTAGTTTGGATGAGATATCAGACATCAACCACTTTGTTATGAAAAGTTCTGCTACCTTCACAAAGTGGTCTGTAAGTGCAATCGGTCTCAGTTTATCGATTCTAGCAGGCTTTTCCTTCGGGATTGGCACAACAATAGCTTTTTTCCATCTGTTGGGAACTTCCCCTTCCGCGAACGAGCTATTCAAGATGGTGGTAAGTGGATAGGCTATTTCATACGCAAACGTCCTGATCAATCTGGTAGGTACTCCATCGGGACCAGCGGACTTTCCGGGTTTTAGCCGTTGGAGTTCTCGATAAACTTCCCATGGCTGCACAGTAGGGGGTCTCTGAGACGGCAGGTATGATGGCAAGTCGCATAGTTGGAGGGGCCGGATGTTGCTAGCAATCGCTTGTTGATGGTATCTGCAATCTTCGATGGGTCCGACTGATCATAACCAGGAACGTCAATGGTTGGACAGCATTGCGATCTAGAAGTCATGAGCTTAATATGCTTGTGCCACGAGGTAGGATTGTCCGATTTCAGCTGAGCCACACGATCGTGGTAGAAGTGGCGTTTCTCTTTACCTATGCTCCGGATGATTTTATTAGAGCAGGCTCTCCATTCGCCTTTCTGTCCAGTGTTGAAGAGGATTTGACGCTGATTAATTGAAGCCTTAATAGATGGTGTAACCCATGGCTTATCCTTCTGATGGATTTTCACTTCCTTTGTTGGAAAATGTGTGTCAATGGCTGATTGGAAGGATGTGTAAAATGCCTCACATTTGTCTGATGTTGTCACAGCATCTTGAACTTCAGGCCAAGTTTGAACAGATATCCACCGGCCGAAGGATCTTATGTCAGAATCGCGCATCGGTCTGATGACTCGTCTGGAGAAAACGTTCCGTTTGTGGGGGAATATATTCAATGGACCCCACTCAACAGAATTATGGTCACTCAGTCCTAGCGGTGACATGACGTCAGCATCACTGTAGAAGTCTTTCATATTTGTCAATATTTTGTCCAATATAGCTGTATTTCGGGTAGGTTTCTTGACGATCTGTTTGAGCGACGTGCTTGTACAGATCACGTCGGTGTTCATTTGGTTAAAGTCCCCCATTATGACGAAGCCAGCAGAAGGGTGCTTCGACCTTAGTTGGTCTACTGAGCCAATGAGATGGTCGGCCAGTTCTAGCTCGTTGACACTATTTGGTGGGAAGTAGACTGACGCCACAAAGATACTTGATATCTCACGTGGCAGCCGACGCGGCCGAATCTGTCCCCAGACCACTTCGATGTCTTCAGGAACGTGTATGTCAGGTACAGGTCTGGGTGACATTTGTTCATTTATGTAAATGGATACTCCACCTCCTCTCTTATGATTTCTGCATTTGTGAAGGTGGCTAAAGCCATTCATTTCGAAATAATCAACTGTTTCCGGGGTCAACCATGTTTCACTGAGGGCGCAAACGTCAATATTGCTCTCATGGATGATTGTTTGAAGTTCATAAAGGTAATAATAAAAACGTTACTTATAAAGCGCTTACCACCGAAGTCTCTAAGCGCTATAACAAACAAAATAGACTGATAAACAATTACATATTAAACAAAACAAAAAAGTGCAAATTAACCAACAAATTACAAATCATATGAAATACACATCAATGTGAACAGAGTAAGTCAATTACTTTAAAAAAGAAGTAACTTAATTATCTGATTGTGTCTTTTAATTTTTGTTTTATTCTACAGACAGCACCTGGCTTCATAGTCTTCTTAGCTCTCATTGCCTGTGGTGCGATGGACCTCTTACGGACAGATGACATCATCAACTCATAATGACAATACATCGGTGCTTTAACCCAACGACTGCTGAATTCTCTAATCCCCATAGGCTTAACACAGGGACCTCCTGGTACTCGTAGGCAATGGGTTAATTCAGTATTTTGCTCAGTGACTATTGTTAAAGACTAAAATGGTGAAATCTTGTTATAAACTCCTTGGAAGCAAGAAAATGTCATTATATTGAAATCGTGTTGTATAAAGGGCTTTTAAAAATATGAAATACAAGGACATAGGACCAGCAAAATTACCTCGTTATAACAAACAGTTAGTTGTACATGTACTATTTTCTTTCTAACAAGGTTCCACTGTACTACTTCGATGAATTGTACAAGACAATAAATTTCAAAGAGCTCATTATTTCAAACATTCATAACTTTCTTATTATTGGTCTGATTTACCTCAAACTTTCATCATTCTGTTTCTCTGATTATTCTGCTTTCATACCAATGAAATTTTTACAAGGGTTGAATTGCACTTTAAAGGTACTATGTCCCTTTTGCAGCCAACCTCAAATTCTGTAGAACTTTGCAGGAGTTATGAATATGTCATGTATGTCCTATCTGTGAAATTTAAACGTTAGCAGTGTCCTCATATTCAAATTATGCAAGGAAACCCGTTTACTTGCTAGATTTCACTGTCAGACACTATTGAGTGACTGACTGGCTTTTTTCTTCTTTGGTAATAACATACATGAAAAGAGTTGTAAAGGGTACATGAGCCTTTGTCTACATCAATAACCCACTTCTTGTGATGGCCAAGATTAAACTGATTGAATCTTTGCGCAGCATAAAACGTATGACCATTCGGTATAATTGTCTGAAAATCAAGACTATTACTTTTGGGCTCTATAGCCCTAAAGTCGATTTGATAACTAATAGTCGTTATTTTCCCACTTGAAGACATTTTCAAGCCCCACCTTTTTTTTAGGGAAGTTCTAAATTAGTATTATCTTTTAAATGCAGTTGGAATTAACTTTTTCATTTTTTGGCCTGCAAATGGGACATTGTACCTTTAACCACTCTTAAAATTTGCAAAACATTTCATGCCTGTGAATGTTTCCGATTGCAAAGTACTTGTCTACAGGTCAAGTGCTTTTTTAAAAAGCAACCAAAGATATAATGAGAATTATTGCACAACTTTTACTTGTCATGTCCTTATCAGTGGGTATAGTAATGCCCCAACCCCACCCCCAAATCCCAAACAAATCTGCTCTTGGCCATACATTTACATGTATTATTTTGCTAGGGCAAGTATTTTGAGGCAATTTACAGTGGCATCATCTCTGAACAAAGTTTCTTGTGCCACCAAGTTCATTACATAAGGTGTCATGCATGCAATGAGAAGCTACTATCCCAAACAAATGACCATGTGAATGTATCTAATAAGAGTGAATATGCTTTTGTTTTTGTAATTGCCATTAAAAACAAGAAATACCTCGATTTTGGTCCAGATTGATATATTCTATTTTATAATTGTTGCAGCTAGTCTGCATGATTTGAAATAGGGGCAGTTGAGGGGTTTGACTGTTGAAGAGGAAAAGAAGGAGAGGGAGAGAGAGAGAGAGAGAGAGAGAAGTAGAGAGATAGGGAAATATAAAATAGAAGAGAGAAAAAAAATTAGGTTAAAGAGAGAGAGAGAGAGATAGATGGAAAGAGCAGAAAAAAGAAGTGAAATATGATCAATGAGACAGCAAAGAGAAGAGGAGAGATAGAAGGACGAAAATAGAAAGGAGATTAGAAAGAGAGTGATAGAAGATGGATAGATTTAGAAATTATGCAAAAAGAGTAGAAGAGAAGAGAAGGAATGGAAAGAGAGACTGGTAAAAGAAGCAGCAAAGAGAAGGGGGTAGGAGGAGGCCATAGAGAAGCAACAGAATGATAAAGATTTGTGGACCTCTGTGTGCCCCCCCCCCCCCCAGAAAATGATGGATAAATTTACCGTAATTATGAATGCATTTTAGAGGTAGTAAGTGTGAAAGAAATGTTGGACTAATTCAGACCCTACGTATCAGGAAAATCCCCTTGAGGGGTGTTATTTTCCGGGGGGTAATTTTCCTTTGAGGGTAATTGTACGTCCCGCTTGTAATCGACCAGGGGGGGGGGGTGATTGCCCGGGGGGTAATTGTCCCCAGAACTACTGAAGTGTATACAGAGCACAAATATCATAAGTTTTGGGAGAAATAAAAAGAGCACATCATAGCTGGGTTTAATACTGTGTCCCCCACCCACCCCGCCCCCTCTAAAATGAAAAATAAGATAGAATTTGATACTCCCAAGATGTGTCGAAATAAATTAAAGCATAAATGGGTGTGGGATGAATATTTGAGATTTTAATCACCAGGGACGTGGTATGCGAAGACACAAATTGTTGTGTTAATTGTTTTAAACAAAAGATAAGGAATTCATTTATGTAAATGAGAGAAAATGGTATAGTTCGATTCCAACTCCCATGGTCATTCATAAAATTCCCTAGTATACGAATTTCAAATTAAATAATATTCAGTATTGAGGAAATAAGAGGGGAAATCAATCTTTCGATTTTTTAGAGTTTTCGTCTGTTAAATTCTGGGGTAAAACTAAAATGTTTATCAAATTTAATGAGTCGACGTGGTGTCAATTTACCGTAAGGCGTAAATATTCTAAAAAAAGAAGGAAACGCCGATAATACCAAACAACAACAACTCTGTCTCTGGTCGTTTGCACGTACAGTATATGACTGAACTGGCTAAACAGCTGTGCCTCCTCCACCAAAACAAACCACGTGCCACCACCACCACCACCACCATCTAGCATAGCTAGCTGTATGTGCAGTGTGCATGTACTGTATGCGTTTATAACGCAGACGTTCCCACGGTCCACTAAGAGGAAGATTTTTATTTCAAGTTTGCTGGTGAGTACAGCTGTAATTACGCTTTAAATTCGTAAATTAAGTCATATTTATGAAAATATGTACTAATATTAGGAATCTGCAGAAGTTTTTGTACATTATCTGTGATGAATTTAAGAGCAATCCGATCTCGAACTTTTTATAAATTTTTCATCGTCGTGAACTAATATTTCAGCTGGATTGCCATCGCTACCCTGTCACTCCTGATAGCTTGGCTAAGACTTGCGGGCAGGACTGTCTCTGAAAATTCGATACGAGTAGGCCTAGATCATATTTCACTGCATCAATGATCCAACTGTTGATAACTACTTTCGAATTTGTGGAAGTTGTGGAAGAAAATTCGAAGCAAACACCAACAAATTTGGACCAGATTAGACTTAAAATTAAAAACCTACTGACTGACCTGTGCAGGAAATTTCCCTATCACCTTTTCCCCTACGCACTTATCTACTGACTAGTTTTCATTATTGTTCATTTAATAATTTAGGGAGATGAAATGAAACTAAAAAGGAGAATCTTACTTGCATCTAACATTAGGAATCAGTTATAAAAGGAAGCATTGTTGGGCTTTATAGTAGAAGTTAGGACCTAGTATTAAATGTACATTAAAAACATCTAGATTAGGCCACCTTTCGATCGGTTTGATTATCTAAGTTAGATGTAGACCTTTAGGATATCCTGAGTAAACCCTCGTTATTAATAGCTATGATTTCTTGCTCTCTCCAGTGATACTCATACTATCATAGACATACTACTTTACCTTGTGCAATATCTTTTTGATCATACTATCCATGTACTAACTATATATGTTACAATCCATGTTATTTCATGTAACTCTTTGTCAAGTTTGTGTGAATCCCCTTTTTCTTCCTCTTCTCTTTGGTTCTCGTCTTTTTCTATTGTATTTCTGTTTTCCTACCTCTTTCCTCTGCTATTTTTTTCGCTTTTTTCTTCACACAATACATGTATGTAATGTTTTACATACATGTATCTAGGTGCTTTGTACATGTATAGTAATAGTGAATATGACATTTTTTAAATCTTCATATTGTCTTTTGGAGTTACAAAATAATTTGCATTGAACTTGGATGTGGTGCTGGATTGGCATAGCTCTGCTCTTTTGACATTAACAAATATTTTTTAATGACATTAATATATTATGTACAGTATTCAAAGTGGTTTGTTTTAATATATATATATTTCAACTTCAGGTGCACTTGGCAGAGACTTTCATTCCTTTATTCCTGTTTGGAATGAATAAAAAAAACACATATACCTTAAGACTGTAACACATTAATATTAATGGTCTTCGATCATTCTCCTCTCTTTCTACTTTTCATTTTCTACTCAGTTCTTCTCCACCCTTCTTATCCAATCTTTCATATTTTCTCTGATCAACTTCTCTTTCTTTCTAATTCTTCTTCCTTCTCTTCCTCTTTCTAGTTCCGTCTCTCTCTCTCTCCTTTCCTTCTTACAGTATATTGTACCTTTGATGACATAGAAGTTTTCAATATATTTAGATTTGTATGTAATATTTGAGAGTTTTATATACTTTCATTATGCATGATTTATGGTTGTACATTTTAGTCATTCATATTTTGATGTTTATTGTGTTGTACAAATTGACTACAATGTAAGTTGAGCAATTTCAACTTTCCAGCTGCATGATCTTTTCAATCAATTCAGTTTAGTACTTAGATTTCATTTTAGGATGGGTTTGCTATTAAGCCAGGGCCTACATGTAGATTGTAAGTTGTGATATGGCTACCATGCAGTTTAACCTGGGGCAAGCAGATTCATGATGATATAGTATGATGGGGGGTTGGGTGTCTCAACACTCAACAAAAATAAAGAATTCCCACGTGTACTAACCATCATTAATATTTTGCCTTTATGACGTACTTGTCCAACATACTGTACAGTAAGGCTTGGAAAATTTATGAAATATTAATTGTAAACTTTGACAAATTGCTATTTTAAATCGACTGTCCAGATCCACACAACCTGTCCGGATACACAACGTCTGGGTATACTGCAAGAATGTGAATGTTTGTTCTTGATTTCAAAAAGTGTGTCATTCAGTAATTTCTACTAACTGAAATTGGGAGAGGTTGTCTACATGAAAGGCGCCTCTGTTTTCTTTTAAGGTGGATTATGGGTGACACTCTAACTAAGGCAAATTATCAATGGATAAATTTTAATGTGATGACTGAACCTTTTTATTTCTTTTTCATGATAATGCTCTTCTTCAATAAAAAAAATAATGATGAAGGCAAATCCCCTGAGAATTTAGATTTATTCAGAAATGAAGGAAAAGAG